CGACAGGTGTATCAGTCTAACCATTGGTCTTTTTCATCCAAGAACACTTAAATAGCTATCTCCGTGCCTTCAATTTTACCATGTCATTTTCGCTAGCCAATGGTCAGAATCCGGTAGGATCCGGTCTACCTGCTCCTCTGTAGAGTAGGTAGACCGGATCCTATCGTACCAGATCGTGACCCTTGGCTAGCGAAGATGAGTCCAGGAGTTAAGAGAGTGTATACGTAAGTGATAGTACCGAGGATGAGGCACACCAATTGTGTCAATGAAAGATAAAGTTAGCGTTATAATCGTTACTAGAAAGTGCTTACAAAGTGATTGAGTTCAAGATGATCTTTATCTACTATATACATGTATACACAAAAGCGGGATGTGAAAAAGGTGTGGGGTCAACCAGGGTCATCTCCCAGTGTCCCGATTCAATTGCCCTCCCATAGTAAGACACCCCGCGCACAAACATCCGGGCCAACAAGAGTGATTCATATAAGTTGAAATAACTTGTTTCATAATTGATGCAAAGTAATGATGAAATGTTTGAATAATTTTAAATAGACTGCAGCGATTCATTTTACAAAAGTTCACCGTAGTTTTTGTACTTGCTGTAGATTTTGTTTTTAATTATTTTGTGTTCTCAGTCACTATCATATAGTAAACAACGTTCTCCAGTTACAGTGAGTCACTGTAATTGGAGAACTCACACGTGTGATTGAATGTTTAACTGTGGTATTAGAAACAGCAATCTAAACATGACTTACCGTATTATTCAGGAAAAAGTTGTTTTAAAGTTTTTAATATATTTGACCCCTGCGACCTTGAATATGAGTGAAAGTCATTCATTTGAACAAAATTAGTAGCCCTTCATTCCTGCATGTCACTGGCCAAATATCATTACACTGGATATTTTGGTTGTTCAGAAGAAGTCGTTAAAAGTTTGTTCAAGACAATTGACCCCTGTGACATTTGAATATACATCAAGGTCATTCATTTGAACGAACTTGGTAGAGCGAAGAGGTTGTTTAAATGTCTTCAAAGACATTTGACCCTTGTGACCTTGAATAAGGATAAAGGTCATTCATCTCAACGAACATGGTAACCCTTCATCCGAGCATTCTTATGTACTACTGGAGTACTGAAAATTCAACATATGGAAGACAACGATGAAATGCGACAACTAAAACGTATTACATAAAAAAAAACAATTGTATATTAAGCGCTTCATTTGATTTTCCTTATACGAAATGTATATTACTGAATACTTGATATAATGTGTGTGACGGTGTGTTCGGGTGGGAAAGTAGGTATATAGTTATAAAAATATCAAGGAAATCCCAAATGATATTTCACAGGACGTCAAGCAATCACGGTCTTTTTCGTTAGCATATGTGAATATATAAGGTGTTGAATCAGGCGCACCCGGACACTAATGTTTCAATACACAGCTGAGGAATCCAGGACGTATCGCTCAAAACAACGAAATGTCGAATAGCTTCTTTATTCATTCTATCTATAAATACAGGAAATAATAAAAAATAAAATGGTATTCCCAATCTATATCTAGCACTTTTAGGGATGGTGATATAGTTTAAATATCCTTGCGTCACAATACTGACCTTACATAAATAGACCGGTTTTTACTGGCCGTTTACCCCGGTTCCTATGGACATAGGTCTGTGTATATATAAAGTCGCTCTCATCTTATATCAAGCAATAGAACGTACTATATAGAATAATCTGTTTACTCTTACCAAAAAATGGATACGGCGAAAATCATCGCCTTTGGACTTGCATTGAGCTTTCTAGCTATTCTAGTTGTTGGTGGTGGTTACTTCATGATCTCTGCCATCGACGATAACAACACAACGACATCATCTACGGTAAATATTATATCAATTCACTCTAATCTTGTATGTACCAGCTGAGGTAATACTATAATTTTGGTATGAGTATGTCGTTTAATGTAACGTACACTCGATGTTGCTATATTCTGCATGATATACCTGATACCGACAAGCATATTTCAAAAACAATCTTATCTTATAATATCAATGATATTATTGAACTAAATGTTGCTTTCATAAGAAATCACATTAATACAAAATATGTAATAAATCTAGAGACGTATATATATTTGTTTTCCATGTGTGCATTTATAGATTACACGCAATATACACCGTCAATCGGACGCAAAGTTAAAAAGCATTTCCTGACATGAAGTTCCCAAACAAGCGAAATATTTCTATTTCACGTTATCACTGATCCGACCTATTCGGAATGAATAATATCATCTATTCGAAACAGAGGTATCGCAGAATCAGATTAAATAGTAAAACAGCGCGCCATTATTTTACACGGGTAAAGATGTTTGTTCTCTTCGTGTGCTTTAGTAAGATGCTACACCTCCAATAAATATGTATAAAACAAACGCCTTGTTATTGTATATTCGTGTCAAGTCACGGTTTGTCCTGTACAAGTCTAGTATATCTAAGTGAGAAACTTCACAAGTATGTTTGACGTCGCTACTTTTAGTGATTTTATAACTTCCTCAACCTGATCAGCGTATTTTAACATAAATCACGTGACACATCGTTTAGCGGTGATAGGTTTGAAAGCCAATCCCACAGACCACGGGGTTTTCTCACGTTAAAATATAGGTTACATGAAATTTCGTTTAGCTTGTATAGTTCGAACTCCACTACCACAAATAGAGTATCTTATGTTTAAATATAGATGTGTGTAATATCGTAATTTGTATTTGACATGTGAACATTTATAACAATACAATGTTAAACCATCATGAAAAATAAACTTGACAATAGTAAAAGTGATAAACAAGTGACAAATCATCCGTACAATCACCCAGCATTCAACAACCGAGAGTAGTCCCTACAACACGAGGAAAGCACGCACCTGTTAAACAATGTAGTATGTCGTCGCAGATGAAAAACATAATGCACCACATGGGTATTTTCTTATTAGTTCCCTCCAATTAGAAATCATCAGCGTTACCAAGATCAGAAGAATTATTCCGTTTGCAAGTCATTGTTAGTGATATCTTCCCTATTTATGGTGGGTTTGCCCCTTAAGTATATAACTCTACAACAAAGTTTCGAGAAAAGGTTTTATGACTTCATTATTATCTCCCCTGTTGCAATACCTCAGCCCCTAAATTTTCATTCAATTACTTAAAGCCGTTATTTAAACCAGACTAGGGGCCTGTCCGTTAATGCGGAACAACCGATACATCCGTCTTTAAATCTAAAAAAATAATCAATATTCGGCGTATTTTCCGTTAGAAATGTCATATGATTAACAGATTTGTAAAACAAAACAAAAATGTCGGATTTTATACATGAATCGTAAAGTCATGAATTTGAATCTTACAGGAATCGACTATAACCGGAATCCAACCCTCGACGGACGACTCCTACACTTATATTGAAACGCGAAACTTTACTAGTATAGCTTTGTACATCACTAGCGGCGAATATCCTGCCCTGGTGTTTAAAGAGGGTGGTTCGTACCACTTAGCCCTTCGTGTCGAGTATTACCAAGGACAATGTGGACGAAACAATAGCCTGCTACCACATGGAACGATTGTCCTGGACATCGAGAGAGCTGAGAACCACTCTAATGTTGGCAACTTCAAAGAGGAATTTTGGAGCAGAGAGAGAAGAAAGTGGAAGGTTCCTGCCGAAATAAAGATAAGGGTAAACGTTCGACCAAAAGAAACATATATTATTAAATCAAACTTTGAGAACTGTATCTTGCAGAACAAAATGATTCTCAATGTAACACGCGATGTGGCTCCAGCAACACGTTATATTACCTAGGGTTTCTTGGGGAGTAAAGCGGTGACACACTCTCCGTTGTGTGCTCATGTCACGTGATGTATTAACTACGACATTCAGTGGAGTGGAGCGGTGACAAACTTTCTGTTATGTCCTAATGTCACGTGAGGTATGAACTACGACATTCATTGGAGTGGAAAGGTGACAAACTTTCTGTAAGGTCATATTGTCACGTGAGGTATGAACTACGACATTCATTAGAGTGGAGCGGTGACAAACTATCTGTTATGTCCTAATGTCACGTGAGTTATGAACTACGACATTCATTGGAGTGGAGCGGTGACAGACCTTCTGTTAAGTCCTAATGTCACGTGAGGTATGAACTACGACATTCACTGGAGTGGAAAGGTGACAAACTCTCTGTTATGTCCTAATGTCACGTGAGGTATGAACTACGATATTCATTGGAGTGGAGCGGTGACAAACTTTCTGTTATGTCCTAATGTCACGTGATGTATCAACTACGACATTAATTGGAGTTGAAAGGTGACAAACTTTCTGTTAGGTCCTATTGTCACGTAAGGTTTGAACTACGACTTTCAGTTGAGTAGAGCAATGACCAGCGATTTTTAGTGTCCTTATGTCATTTTGTAGGTTATGTTATTATATTTGCATACGTGGGAAGTTAATGTGGAAGGCGCTGTTCCATGGCATATCAGCTCAAAAAAGCAAAACTGTAACGCTCCGCTTAACGGAATGTATTTAGTGTTCACCCTATTTGTGTAAAATAAATGTTTGAATGCTTAAATGTCGCTTAACTTGATCAGTTATAACATTCCATAAGAAACTGAAAATATTTGATGAGCTGTCATATTTGACTATTATCTGAATTTGGCAAGGATAAAAGGTGATTAAACAGTGAAATAATGGAAGATTTGATTGTAGTATCCTTCAATTAGGGACCGCACGTTGGAATAATGCAAGAACAACATTCCAAGGTTAAATAACCCAGGTTAACATAAAATAACCCACTATTAACAAAACATATATTACTAGCAGCTCCCAATTAAATACTTACCACAGTCTGTATGGTTTCTGTGCCCGTATTATCAACAAAAACATCTATTCCGTCGACACGGCCTGATCGAGCACTGTCATGGCTCTCGCTCGTGCGTACTCACTTACACTACGAAACCTCCGTTGCGCCATACAGGTAGTAACGACACGACACAAATATTACAGACACACACGAAACGTACAACAAGAATACACGCGATCGTGACATATAGAAGATGAATATCATTTTACAATTTTATAATGTAATCGCTATTCAGACATCCGGTCTAATTCATAAAAGCATTCTGTCAGAAGGCCTAGCTTGTTTAAATTCGTTCACTCACTCAAAGTTGAAAATACAAAAGAACTTAATAACAAAGGAGATTATTTAACACTAGCGTGTAAACGTAGAACAGATCTAGTAAGAGGTCATCACTAGAACAGGTCATGTGTAGATACATGTAGCAAATTATATTGAATACAAATTATATTATATTAATTCAGATACACTATTATGTTATTTTGTCCTGTTTGGGTGTAACTGGGTGAAAATGTTTTTCGCGTGTGTATGGATGTGCGTTTAAAAAAGATGATGATATGGTGGTGGTGGTGGTGATGTGTGTGTGTGTGTGTGTGTGTGTGAGTTATTCATTGTGTTATTATTATTTCACTGCACATCATTCTTATCCAATACTTTCTCCTTCTTAATACTGTAATATATCAAGATATTGTCGTTTAAATATTTGTTGTTGTACCACCGCAATTAATATAATCAGCATAACAATGGTTTTTATTGGGTTTTTTTCAAAGTTCGAGGGGATATAGGATTCCGCCCGTACAATTTCAATTTCAATTTAATTTATTACCAAATGCACATTACATATAGGCGTACAGAAATATACATCTTGATCAATACTTCACAAATATCTTGTACAATGGCGGAGAACATATGCAAAAGATTCAATTCCATACATAATAATTACAAATTCATGAAATAGTTATAAGTTGGAGAAGACTTAAAGCTTTTCCTAAGGTAACTTAGCGGACTCTTATGAAGCATAATTTAATTGTTTATGAAAAAATATAAATAAGCCTTAAGCTAATCAAACTTTGTCATCGCTCTAGCGACTTCATTCCTGCACAGAATTCCATAAAACTTCATGCAAGTGTTTAGTATGACAATACCTTGAACAAGTTTGCGTTTCGGGTTTCTACGTTGAAGGTCAAGGTCACTGTTACTATGTCTAGAACAAACTTTGTCATCGCTCTAGCGACCTCATTTCCTCTTAAGATATGTCACAATGTGTGAATTCGAGGGGATTTGTATCACTTGCAATGCCTTGTTTGTTTTTAGAATGGCCAAATATACTTAATAAAGGAATATTAAGTAGTAAGCACACGTGAACTAGATTAACTCTAGGATTGAAAGTCGTCTGTTTTAGAATTATTTTTCAACACTGATCCACTGTTCCCATGATCCCGTCATCCGGGTTCATCCCTTAAAGGGGCTGGTCGGGGAGAAAATTACAAAATAAATGAGTCTAAATGCGTTCTCTGGCCTTCCAAAAGTTATACCACGGCAATATGATGGTTAGAGTTCTGCTTGCAATGTCCAGTTTTGACCACTGAAATCTCGGGGAAGCCCCGTGTACATTACGCGCAGATCTATTTATATATGTCACGTGGTTGTTTCGAAAGTGAGGCAGTGAAGATTACAACAATAGCACGCCGCCATGTGCCATGTCGGACTCAACTAGCGGACAAGACAGCAGTACTATACGTAAATAATTGTTTTCAAAGGTCATGTATGATGCAAGTGTAGTATTCCTACCTATATGTTGTTGTTATATATAACGGTATTGATACCTCGTGCCTGTCATGACGTTTTCATGCATCTTTTTCTTTCGCCGCGATGTTTACATTTGGCCTTGTTGATGATGCGCGTGCGGTAAAATTACATAACTGATCTGGGTCAATTGAGAGTTTTAGACTTTCAGGTGACGATTTAGGATTTCTTTAATATAATTATAATTTTTACTCTTAGGGAGTGAATTTCAGCAAAATTTAAATCGGTATATTTCATAATAAGGTAATTTAAACATGTGTATGCCATTTTACCAAATATGACATTTTTTCCCCGACCAGCCCCCTTAAATGAACTTCTGTTTTATTTTTCTGTACGTTTTATTTTGGTTCGTTATTATGATACATAGCTGTTGTTGGGATGATAATATATAATACATGCATCTTCCTCTTGTCAGGAAATTTCTACATCTTTGAATTGTGATTTAGGGCGTTAAAGAGATTTTTTATATTTGAGTGAAACACATAAACATCTGGGAGTCATTGCTAAGGGTAAGTAGGAAGATCATATTTATGCTTTATATGTGTCAGTTATGAAGAAAATAAATTTCTTAAGAAAACTTAAATATATATTACAAAGAGAGACCCTATCAAAAACGACTATTCAATGTCCTAAAACAGGTCGGGAAATACAGCATAACGATGTAAATATAAAAAAAAATCCATTTTAATTCTCTGTTTTAGTTACACAGTAATTCTATAACTTGAAAGCTATTAACAAAACATGAAACATATAAACTGTGCATTGTAAACAATGCATTAACTTACACAAAAGCAATGCCCATAAATAACCACATGTATATCAATTCTGTAAATAGACGAGGCATATAAAAATTAAAATGAACAAATATAAATGTCTTGTTTTGTGTGTATTCTTTGAGATTCTTCAGTGGTCCCTTGGCACAAACATATATAACTGACGGTAAGCATATCATATCATTCAGTAATTGCACTATAACTGACCTATCAAAATCCATACATCATCGAGTCACACAGATTTTTTGTAAACTAGGCGTATTTGTATACATGTAATTGTTTAACGTTAACTACAATTTTAATGGTAATTGGTATACTATAGGCAAGCATAATTTTCTATTAATAATATTATAAAAAAAAACTGCTTTATATATAATGAATACTTGATTTTCAAAAATCCTCTGTCGGATTAAACTCAGGGTGCCCGGTCATATTTTTAAACTTAAAATATCTGGTGCCCCTGTCCAATGCCTTAAATTGAGCCAATTCCGATTTACTTAAATCAAAGTTAAATATGTCTAAATTTTCTGCCAATCTTTTTTCACTTTTTGATTTTGGAACAACACAGAATCCTTTTTGAATCAGCCATCCCAGAAGTATCTGAGCTTTAGTTTTGCCGTGGGCTCGTGCAATCGAGTCCAATGCCGGATCGTCCAACAGAACAGATTGATCGCTAAATCGATGGCGCTCTGGCCGTCCCGGTGCGCCTATTGGACTATAGGCAGTTAGAGTTATGCCCCTTGCTTCACAGAAATTGTACAGTGACCTCTGCTGCAAATATGCATGGCACTCGAGCTGAAGATTTGCCGGCATGATCGAACATCCGTCAAGTATATTTTGTATCTGTCCTATAGTAAAATTCGATAAACCAATAGATTTGACCGTCCCTTCCTTCACACATGTTTCTAGAGATCGCCATGTTTTCTGTAGATTAAAATGAATGAATTCTCCTTTCGAGTTTGTGTGCATTATGTCTGCTTTGCTTTCGTTTCTCAAGGTCCATGGATGATGGATCAGCACAAGGTCCAGGTATTTTGTTTTCAGTTTTGCCCTGGACTCCTCTACTCCCTCTAGGACGTCGCTAGGTGCGTGTAAAACATCGGGTACTTTGGTGGTCAGGAAAATATCTTCCCTCTTCACCGATCCCGACTCGATACGAGCCTTGATAATCTCGCCGATCTCGCTTTCGTTGTTGTAGGAATGAGCCGTGTCGATGTGTCGGTATCCCAGCCATATTGCTTTGTCCACAGCTTCACGTACTCCATCTCCTACAAGTTGATACGTACCGAGTCCAACGCTGGGAAGCAGATGTCCATTGTACAATTTTATGAATTTGTTACAGAAATTAACTCCCATTTCCGCAAACTAGTCGTTTATCATCAAACTTTTAAATCCATCATCATGGATACGATCCAAATGTTAATCTTGACACCGGTTCCTTTGACATCCTTATGTAAATTTCAGTAATCAATCATCCCTACAGGCCGCTACAGGCTACAGTGACTCGGTGCTAAATTGAAAGTTCATCGACTACATGTGCCTTGTGTATGAGCAATATGAAATTACATGTTCGTAAATAAAATGTTAAGCTTAGACTTACTTCGTTTTTTATTATAGCGGTAACTATACAACGTATATAAGAGATTATTGCAGTTGATATAAATAAAGAGAGACTCTATTGTTTCTTGGGCGAAAGGAACCTAGCCGGATAGAATATAGGCTAATTATTGCCATCCGTATCCTTTAAACGCTTACACTAGATGATTAGAGTTATCTCCCATATTCAAAGAAAAACAAGTATACCATCTGGTTTTGGCTTTTGAACGTTTTTATTCAATCAAAAAATGGACGGTATAAATTATTATATCTAAGGTGTATAAATAAATAAATTGCAATACGAATACATGTATCAGCATTTCATACATGATATTCATAAATGTGTCCATGTCATGACATGTTGTTTTTTTAATTCAACATCAAAATTGTAAATCTTTTCTGAATGTTATTATCAACATGTAGTATCAATATAGTTTAAAACCTACCGTAAGCATCCTCGTGTCAAACTTCTACATTTTCCTGGAAATTTCATAATTAATCAATTAACTGCTGTTTCCAAATGAAAATTTCTTTCGTGTGTTTCAAATTCTGATTATGACAAATAGGACTAAAAAGGATAATTTTACCTCATTCACCCCTGAAATTTCATAATGAACTATTCCAACCTTTGAATTGGAAGAGTTGAAATGTGTCTTCAGGGGTGAATGAGTTAAGCTTGATTTTTTTTAATATCCATCCAGTATGAATAAACAACACTCATTGAGAGGCCATCGTGTTGCAACTCACATAATGTGGACATTTTTAATACTGCCTGAAAATGGGAAAATTCCAGTTTCAATCCATGTAGCTTCTAATATTCTGTGAATTAAAAACTCTACCAGACATTGTATAGTGAGAAAACACCAAAAACTGTGTCCTTAGAATAGCAAGTTGAATTTCTAAAAATAGATCAAGATTCAAACAATTGACCCTAACTTCCTTCTGAGGATTGTATATGTACTAACAACATCAACAATTGTGGCTCTTGTTACAGACACTTTAACACAATAATGTCTGTTAGGAAAAAGGATCAGTTCATAACGGATGACTACTGGATTGCCTTAGTAACTTAAGAAAAAAATATGCATTCACCGGTTTTGTCAGTGAGGTAACTATTCATGATGTTGAGTTCAAAGACCATGAAGTTCAGCACAAATAAACAAGGCAATCATTAATAACCTGATAAACCATTCTATAGCAAATAAATGCCCTGCTTGCACAGCATGAATGAATGCAGAACATACGAAAGTTCTCAAAAACCAGCCATTAGAAAAACGATTAATTAGGGTGAATGGCTGGGATGCTCAGACAAGAAAAGTGTTGAGAGGGGTTTATAAGGGATGGTACAGTCAGGTTTAATGTGACACATAACAACTTAAGTTATCAATGAATAATGAAAGTGAATTTCATCTGAACACAAAAATGTATATCAATCTTAAACACCCAATTTCTATGACAACACATACAATTTGTGACTGTACTCGGGCTGGTAGTAAAATGTTCTCACAAATAAATTCACAACATTCCTTTGATATGAGAAAGTGCTATCTCACATTTATGTTGATGAACACATCTTTGGAATGTTTATAGATATAATCCTCAGGGTCATTTGAGAGTTTCCCTGTGCCATCCGTTCGAAATATAGAGATGCATGTACATTATACTCCAAAATATCTTCTTGTAATTTTTACTTCAGACATAAAAAATAAAACTTGAGATTCCTTGAATATAACTATATTTTTTTAATTAAAAGTGAACACCGAGACTATCAACTTGATCAGAATTCTTGTGCTTGTTTTTGGACCCTTAGTTACATTATTTCTGTGAAACAAATTTGCATTCATTGATTATCAACTTCTAATTATATATATATCATACTACAAAACTGTAACGTTTATCCTAAAATATATTGTAATGTCTGGAATTTCTACATAAACATGTTTAGTTGTACTAACTTTGTATAGCCAAACCAGAAAATTCCCCAACAGTTACACATACAATTTATTTTTATTTACAAAAATGGGTGATAAAGAAGTGTAGCTTTAGATGATAAGGTATTAGCTATAAGTCTCTCATACTTACTGACCAGTAAAACAATTGCACATGTACATGATTTTATGAGTACAATACTAGTGAGTATGATTCTCGTGTACACAATTCTATAAAAAAGACCTGCATTAGATGCTATAATGATTGAAATGCACAAAGATTTATGATATGAAGTTTATACATAAATAGATTTTAATGGAGGATTTCAAATTCCTACCAACATACAAATCAAACTCCTTTTGTGATTTCCCAAAATTCACAATGGAATTCTAGTTTACTGAACATCAGTAGTTTACTAGAAACATAGAATCTGATCAAATGACATTCCCACACTCGTACTGTCACCCACATCATAAAAGCCATGTCAACTAATATATCTCAAAAAGTCCTCAGTGTTTTCATGCCAAATACTGGAATATCATTACTTAATATTTTACCTGGAAAGCATAGCCGATTGACATTTCACAGCAACCACATGTGAACAGTGGTGTTATCATACCACCACAAATAGGTTAGGGAGTCACCATGACCATGAGATTAGGGAGTCACCATGACCATGAGATTAGGGAGTCACCATGACCATGAGATTAGGGAGTCACCATGACCATGATTGTGCCGTTGAAATTGCTATACTGAATACAGTGAAACAATCAACATTCATTTTTGATTGACATTTTTGGTTACTATTTCTGAGAAATATTTGTGAGCTTTGAAAGGAACTTTTTGGATAATAATCAGTTACAAAAAACAAAACTGAAGACTTCTGTAAGAATTTTGCCACACAGATTCATACAGGTCATACATTGATTATTTTTACGTCTCATATCTGATGATTATCCAAAACAATTTCATTGCTGTTAAAATGAAATCTAAACAAAGCTCCTTCTTGTTTTCTCAAACCACCATGACATCTTCACTCTCACTGACTGTCTTTCTGTCTATTGTCCCAGTTCTGATGTCAGACAGGGCCATAGTACACATTTATTGTTCTGCCATATCACACATTTATTGTTCTTGGTATAGGTAAACAAGATTATTTGTTTCTCCAAGATAAGTCAGATAGAATCATGTTTCTCTACTACAAGGACATATTTTATTATACCGAAACGAAACAACAACAAAACAGTAAAGGTGGTCAGGCTGACTTGCCGATGTTGTTATCTGTTTCAGATAATTGGAAGTTAATTGTGCTAGCTTTTGACAATTTTCCTAGCGAAGCTACAAAAAAGGGAAATTTGACCAGGGAAAGTTAAGTGTGGAGGGTGACACAATGTTTTGTTGCTCCCCATGTGATCAATGTAATCCAATCAGTCATTCTGTTACATAGATGAGGTATGATAATGCCCTAAGTAATACAGTATGCAAGAGTGTGCCCACTGTTTAACAATAAAGTCACATGATAAATGTAGTGAAGCAACAGTAATCATTTATTGACATTTCAGTTTGGATTCACATAATTCACAGAGATACTAAAAATTCCATAACAAACACATCATCCCACATACAAATGTTTCTTGAACTATTTCTGAAATTCTCCTCACTCGTGAGAACATTTAAATAAACAGCCAATATAGTACATAATCAATTTACTTCACAACCATTCTATTTTGGTACAGACAACCTTTCTTTCCTAGTCTTGTTGTGTTTAGAATGCATAAACTTTTAAAATGAGATTTTTCACAACACCTTAATAATATTAAATATCATAAGGTTTCACATCTTCAAACGATCAATGCTTGATAATTCATTTATATGAAATTCACTATTTCTGCAGGAAAAAAAGTAGTATCAATTATTAGCTAATTTTGTTAAGATGAATTGGGACCACATAATAAATTAACAGTTGTGCTGAACACCTCTGACTGATTCCTTCTGAACAGAAAAAAAGGAAGGAACATTCTGTCAATCTTTATCACAGCCTCCTCCCACTTTTAATTTTCTGATCAATCACATACTATTTCCAGGATGATTTGACCTTTCCCTGACCTGGCCTATTCCCGCCTGCTCCAGATCTTACAGGTGCAGGTGCGCTTTTCCTATCAGTTTTTTTTACCTGTGACCCTTGTACCGGTTTGGAAGCCGACTGTCCTTGGACTCCTTCAGCCATCTGGAAAAATAAGAAGTCAGAAAATAATGCAGACCTGTAATTAAGGAAGCAGTTGTGTGGTATAAAAATGGAAAATCAGCCTTTTATGGCTTAGATGGGCTATCCTAGGTGAGAGCCAAATATGAATAAGTGACATCAATTTTCCAAACACCCTATATACCATACAGGTACTTAGTTTTTGTATGTCTTTTACCTGAATAAATATTGTTAGTTTAATTAAACACAATGACAGGCTCATTCATGTTGTTTAGCTCAGTTGGTTAGAGAGCCGGTATAATGATCAGAGGTCATGGGTTCAAATACTGGTCTGGAAACTCTACGTTTTTACACTCAGAGCACTTGCTGATTTTTGGTGCCCTTTTCATCTTCATTATTATTTTTGGGAAAGCTTTGCAACGTATGTTTTCCCTGTTCAGTGACGACTTATCAAAGCTACAGTCATGTCAGGATGAGAGTTTCCATTGCATATTTTAATTATTCTGACAGCGGCACGGGATCCTTATTTAACATGTACACTTTAGACAGCTACAGTGGAATCGGGTTATTAGTACATGTACAGCAAACAATGGATACAACTTAAATGTATCAACTTACACCTACAGAAAGGTCACAAAACTTGTTGTCAATGAAATGCTTTGTATGACTAATACACACTAATGGTGGAGGTTACTGTAACCATACTTATGTTAGCACACTAGAATTCTAGCGCTTTATCAAATTGAACAGATTAAGGTAGTGATGATGAACTGGTGCATCCACAAAATGTGCAATAGAAAACATTATTAAACCTCTACTTTATTTACTCTATATAAAAGTAATTGGTTAAATCGAATATATCCCCACTTTTGCCTGACTGTGTTTTAGTCCTGTGTGTTAGTCCGGTGTTTCCGCCGAGGCAATCAGGAGAGAGGTGGGCAGAGCTTGTTACCGAACCCGGAAGCGACGCTCGAGGTGGGCGGAGCATGCTTCTGAACTCGGAAGGATTTGGCTCCAAAATGGTAGTTGGGACGTTTAGCTATACAGCTTATGGTTTACAAATATTTTCTAGTTTAAACTACCTCTCCAGTGTGTATCGGTATAATAATAAATATGTGAGAAAGGAGACCATCTACAGGAATCTGATCGACTGGTCAAATTAGCAGTAGTTTTCCAGGTCAGTGTAAATGTACCTGTGACTTCAATGGGACATTACAAACTCATCAGAAAAAAGACTACTTACTCCTGCCATAGCGACCTTGAGATTGCGCTTGACCTTGGCCACATCCCTGTTCGAGACCTGAGGAGGAGAGCGTGGCGAGTTGTTATCAGATGGAGCTGATTTCCTCCCTCCCCTCGGAGGTTGAGGCTGTCCCAACTGTTTCTGGGGTTGTCTGCGAGGAAAATGAAATATCTGAACATTGTCATCACAACTTCAAAATGTCTTTCTGGTGTCAGCTTAATTGAATGAACAGTCAAATCCATTTTAATCTGAAGGGGCAAGATAACCAAAACAATTAGGAGTGGAACTGAGGCAATCTGTCCTCAAAACACTGACTGGAAATTGGGACAATTGGATTAGAGGACTAGATAAGAAAGCCCACCAATATATTGTTTATCAGATACATATATGTTTCTTGAATACCAAGAATTCTGTTAACTTTGAAGATTATTATATCCTAACAGCTTTAACATGGCTGGTGAGACAGTATTATTGTAACAGTAGTTCCTTTTAAAGTGGTTACAACCTTCATGTCCACTCAGGAATAATGAACTTGTCTGAATTCAATACCAGATTTCACAAATTTTACTACGGTTATAAATCTATATATATATATACAGACGTCCGCACTATGTGTACTTTGTGACGTCATTATTTTTGATGTATTAAGTATGTGTACTCCATTTATGATGTCACAAATAAATTCAAATCGCCAGAGGAGCCCCAAAATGGCCGAAAGAGCTAGCAAAATGTAGTATTCATGTTTTGTTTTATAAATATATGTAGGTTGTTAACCTAAACTGATAAGTTAACACACCATGCAGACCTGATGAACTTTTATCCCTAATTACTTCCTTCAGTTGAACCAGATCACTGACTTGTGTCTCAGTCCTGTTTTGTACTTTATCTAAGCCTGATCACTATTCACATTGACTGGAGCTAGGTCTGGTAACTACCTCGTGTTTAAGCCCTTCAGGATCTCCATCAACTCTGAAATCTGTTCATTGTCCTGTTGCAGGGCCTGAGGTTGCTCCAATAGTTCACCCTGCTGGCCCAGTAACCTGGATATCTCGGCCAGCTGGTCAGGACTCAACACTCCCTGAAGGGGATTACCTAGCAACCAAAAGAACAAGTGTAATGTGAATGTAATAAGCCTACATATGTGGGATATTGGTTTATTTGTAAGGAAGAATTTATTACTAACTTGTAACAAAATGCAGCATATCATGTTGAATAAATTCAAGAGATTATTATTGGATTGTGAGTTTTTCAAAGACTAGAAAATGTCTGTATGACATGAATGTCCCCATCCCCATGATAAGTACTGTCATTTTTGCCAAATTTCTATAAATAGTATAAGTGACCTTGTCCTTAACCTTTTGTTTCTGCGATACAAACTCATTCAGTTTTCATACTTGACCTTTCTTGGAACAAAATCTGTTTACAAATGAAGCTATATATCACTGAATACGTTGACAAATTTCTATAAATAGTAATAGCGACCTTGACCTTGGAACCTTAAAACATTAACTCATATGATGTATTCACGTACACCTCTCATGTACATTTGATGTGTAGATATGGACATTTCAATACCTTGACCTTTGATGGAATGTTATACACGTGTCTATCTCACCTACTTTTTAAATCTTCATTAAGTTTGGTAAAGGCAAAGTTAGAAATTATAAAGTTATAGAGAGGAAACCATTAGCCATTCAGATTCCCAAAATCCACCTTCAGTGACCCTGATGTCTGTCAGAATGAACTCTTTACCAAGTACTAAAACTTTATTAAGTTTGGTGAAAATCAGCAGCCAAAAATGATAAGACTTGACATAGAAATAACCTTACTACAACTTCCAGAAATTCCTGTAGATGTGGTTAAAAATGGTTAGGGACAGACACCATCAACTGTAGTCTAACTGAAAGAATCAAGCTGACATGACCTTGATCTATAATGAAAGGACTCAAAAAAGTATAGGGTTTACCAAGTCAATGATAATACATACCTTGTGTAGCTACCACCGTCTGTTTATTTTCCATACTTGTTGCCTGGAAACACAAATTAAAATGTTCATTTATCTGCATCTGATTCCTAGTACATGTACAACTGTACCATTCTGTGGGTGAGCTGTTGTATACATGTAACACCCTCCCTAGTATTTCCTGTCTATAGTTTAGCTGTTGTATACATGTTACACCCTCCCCAGTATGACCTGTCTGTAGTAGAGCTATTGTATACATGTGACACCCTCCCCAGTATTAACTGTCTGTGGTGGAGTTGTTGTATCAATGTGACATCCTCCCTAATATAACCTGTCTGTAGTGAAGTTGTTGTGTACATGTTACGTTCTCCCCTGTATTACCTTTCCATCACAGAGCTGTTGTATACATGTTACACCCTCCCCAGTATTACCTGTCTATAGTATAGCTGTTGTATACATGTTACACCCTCCCCAGTATTACCTGTCTATAGTATAGCTGTTGTATACATGTTACGACCTTCCCAGTATTACCATTCCATCACGAAGCTGTTGTATACATGTTACACCCTCCCCAGTATTACCATTCCATCACAAAGCTGTTGTATACGTGTTACACCCTCCCCAGTATAATCTTTCCATCACGGAGCTGTTGTATACATGTTACACCCTCCCCAGTATTACCTTTCCATCACAGAGCTGTTGTATACATGTTACACCCTCCCTAGTATTACCTTTCCATCACGGAGCTGTTGAATACGGGTAAGCTCTCTCTGAAGCTGTGCTGCTTGTGCAGTGTCATTTAGGTCCAGTTCCTCTGCAACAGGAAAGTTTTAATTCAATACTAGGATCGGGTGGTCTTTTATCATAACGCAGTGTTAATGTGATCTTTACACCCACAAGAAGGACTTAATTGTAAGGCAAAAAATGTATGTTTAAGGTAACATGACTGAAAACAAATAGCGTAGGTCAGTAGGGATTTAAAAACAAGAGGCCCAGGGGCATTAAAAGCTCACCTGGTATTTTATGTTTAATGTAAAACCTGCTGAGTACCAAACCAATTAATCAAAGAAGTACAAGAAATACAAGTTGCAAGAGGACTCCATGTAAATCTTGTTTGGGTGGGTAAGACACCAAGAACACAAGTGTCCATGTTATGTCCCAGGGAGGTAGTCTCGAGGGATTGGTCTGGACCTCTGGGCCAATCCTGGTGGCATGTTTTCTTTTCGTCATGCCTAAATTCTAAATTGTAAATTTGGTTACAGGGAAGGGATAAAATCCCTCAATTAATATGGAAGGTACCCTATTTCTCTGTCCAAAGGGAGCCATACCCTCCATTTATAAAATAAAATAGTCCCCTTTTGCCTACAGATGATCTTTAACAAATTTCGTGAAAATCCGTCTATTCGCACAGAAAGAGAAAGCTTTTTAAAGATTTCTCTCTATTTCATTTCCACTATTGGGCCCCATCCCTCTGGCCCCAAGGGGATCCATCTTTAACATTATAATTAAGAAATTACAAGAATTACCAAAAATTCAGACAGATTGTATTCATTTCTCAGGATATTTTTAGGTATTTTAAATAATTATATGGGATTTTAAATTTAGCCTGCCCATGACATAGAGATGCTTATGAATTTCAGCGCTTTTGAACGGGATGTTTACCGTCAGTGCATTAGAGTGAGATAAAATTGCTAGGGTCAGAGGTAAAAACTAGGGACGGTTGGTTTACCTGAAACATACATATATACATGTATTACCTGTCTGATCCTGAGAAATCTGTGAACTGTTTTCAAAATCAACATCTCCATCCGCATTGGTTGCCCCTGGAGGTTTCTGTAGAAGCTGAAAGCAACACAAAGCATAATGAGTTATGGAATATGAACCCCAAAAATCTGAAATGTCAAATCATTTCTGAATTATTTTAATGTGTGTGAAGTTTACAAACAATCATAAAAAAGAGGCCCAGGGGCCTTAATAGCTCACCTGGTATTTTATTTTTCAATTTAAAACCTGCTGAGTACCATTCAGGTTTATCAAAGGAGTACAAGAAACAAAGTTGCAAGAAGAACTACATATAAATCTGTTTTGGTGGGAAAGAAAATGAATTTCCATGTTATGTCCCAATTTTATTGGGCCCCGCCCCTATGCTCCCAGAGGGGCCACACCCTCCGTTTATACAAACTTGAGGCTCCTTTGTCCAAAGATACTCTAGAACAAATTTGGTCAAAATCCTTCTATTGATTGAGAAGAAAAAGATTTTTAAAGATTTACCTATTTTCCCCCTATTTGGCCTCGCCCCTCTGCCCCCAGGGGGACCTTACCCTCCGTTAATACAAAACTGAGAACCCTTTGGCCAATGATGCTCCAGACCAAATTTGGTCAAAATCCCTTCATCGGTACAAAAGGAGAAGGATCTTCGATGTTTCCTCTATTTCCCCTAATGGGCCCTACCCATCTGCCCCAAAGAAGGGGGCCCACACACCTCAGTTTATACAAAATTGATTCTTTTGTCCCTAATCATGCTTCAGATTGCATTTGGTTTAATTTCCTTCACTTGTATAGTAGGAGAAAAAAAATCCTCTATTTCCCCTATTGGGCCCACCCCTCCGCCCCCAGAGGGGCCACACCCTCCGTTTATACAAACTTGAGTCTCCTTTGTCCAAAGATGCTCTAGGACAAATTGGGTCAAAATGCTTCTTTTGATTGAGAAGAAGAAGATTTTTAAAGATTTACCTATTTTCCCCCTATTTGGCCCGCCCCTCTGCCCCCAGGGGGACCATACCCTCCGTTTATACAAAACTGAGAACCCTTTGGCTAATGATGCTCCAGACCAAATTTGGTCAAAATCCTCAGAGCCGTTCAGGACTAGTAGGGTTTTAGGTGAGCTAAAAAATGTGATACAATCCTCACTGGAGACTCAAATGAAACCTTGGAAAAATCACTGTTTATGTTCAAAACAAGTTTTGTATTTATTCTTCATACCAAACTGATAAATCTAATTGTGAAAATCTATGAGGTGTTGAAATTTAGGTTGATGTTTACACAGCCATCACATCTCGGCCCGACTAATTTGACCATCATTAACACTGAATCATTGTCTCTTTGATGTTTAAACCAAGTAATGTAACGATAGGTGTCAATTTTAGTGGCTGTTGGCCACATTAGACAGGCGACTGCTTATACGACTTCTGTATATAGTGATTTTCATCAGGAGGAAATGAAAGTGACCGCTGACAACAGGTAACCATTTAAAACAGATGGCCACTAAGGCAGGTTTGACTGGATGTAGTAAATGTAGTGAGTAAATAAGGAGTTGTATCGCTTTATGTAATGTTGTAACTATGTATTATTTGTAACTAAATGTCTTACCACTTGTATGTAATGCTGTAACTATGTATTATTTGTAACTCAATATCTTACCACTTGTATGTAATGCTGTAAGTATGTATTATTTGTAACTAAATAGCTTACCACTTGTATGTAATGTTGTAACTATGTATTATTTGTAACTAAATGTCTTACCTCTTGTATGTAATGCTGTAACTATGTATTATTTGTAACTAAATATCTAACCACTTGTATGTAATGCTGTAACTATGCATTATTTGTAACTTAATATCTTACCACTTGTATGTAATGCTGTAACTAGGTATTATTTTTAACTAAATATCTTACCACTTGTATGTAATGCTGTAACTATGTATTATTTGTAACTAAATATCTTACCACTTGTATGTAATGATGTAACTATGTATTATTTGTAACTAAATATCATACCACTTGTATGTAATGCTGTAACTAGGTATTATTTTTAACTAAATATATTACCACTTGTATGTAATGCTGTAACTAGGTATTATTTTTAACTAAATATATTACCACTTGTATGTAATGCTGTAACTATGAATTATTTGTAACTTAATATCTTACCACTTCTATGTAATGCTGTAACTAGGTATTATTTTTAACTAAATATATTACCACTTGTATGTAATGCTGTAACTAGGTATTATTTTTAAATAAATATCTTACCACTTGTATGTAATGCGGTAACTATGTATTATTTGTAACTAAATAGCTAACCACTTGTATGTAATGCTGTAACTATGTATTATTTGTAAATAAATATCTAACCACTTGTATGTAATGCTGTAAATATGCATTATTTGTAACTTAATATCTTACCACTTCTATGTAATGCTGTAACTAGGTATTATTTTTAACTAAATATATTACCACTTGTATGTAATGCTGTAACTAGGTATTATTTTTAAATAAATATCTTACCACTTGTATGTAATGCTGGAACTATGTATTATTTGTAACTAAATGTCTTACCACTTGTATGTAATGCTGTAACTATGTACTATTTGTAACTAAATATCTTACCACTTGTATGTAATGCTGTAACTGGCCCTGACGAGACTCATGCTCTTGCAACCTGTCAGATAACTGGCTGTAATCCACATCAAGACTGAAAATATAAATGTTTAAGAAAGTTACACATTGTTCGTTTTTCAATTTGCTAACATAGAAAATTCCCTTCTTAAAATCTAATGTATTGTCAAACTGGGATTTTGAGTCATGACTAATCTAATTTTAAGAATCTTATAAATAAGCTTTCTGAATATTTTTCTCACAAAATATCTCTTTTAAGTGGCCACTCATTTTTCACAAATTTTAAAGAATACAAAAACGGTTCTATACTTTGGCCTGAATTTCAACTGTCCCTAAAACAAATATTCATATTGAAAATCAGTTCAAAATTAATTGAAAAAAAAACACATTTTGCTACAGCACTGACAAAATAGGCAACAATCCTGTTTTTCAGATTGCTTCAATATTCTGAATATTGGTATGGTGAGAAACCAATGGGTCTATGCTTAAAATGTTTCAGTCTGACTGATATGGAGGTAGTAATTCTCAAACCAACACTCACTGTTCTGCACCCTCGTCCCCTTCATACTGGTGGTGATCCTCTTTGATGCGATGGTGGCCCTGCAGTTTGGTGGGTGGTGAGTGGCCAGGCTGAGACCAATCTGTCAGGAAAAGCCAGTGAACCTCAATATCGAGTTAACTACACAATGTCTTAGTGACAGGAATACTTCAGCCACCTTTTTTTTCAATCATAATAAATTCAACTTACTCATTTAGCAATGGTAATACTGAACCATTGCATGAAGTTTCATTCAAATCAGATAAAAAACGAGGAGTATAGATTGATGAACATTTTTTTTTAAATTACAGTAACAGTGACTCCGACATTTACACAACGATCCTGAATTGCAAACTCATTTGTAGTGTTGTAACATTGACGACAAGAGAGTTTCATTAAAACGAAATCTAGGATGAAGGTATCTCCTCCATTTCATGTCCTGTGAACAAAGGTTGGCTGACTGTTAAAATATACAATGTACCAACAAATGGTTTACCTGGGGGCGGCTCTGAGAAACTACTGTCTGGCGTGTGCTGATAGTGCTGCACCTCACTACTGTGCTGCTGTGGGGGTCTGATCGGCACAGCAACAGGTTGAGGTTGGTGCTGTTGCTGCTGCTGTTGCTGCTGCTGCTGCTGCTGTTGACTGGCTGCGAATGCTATTTTGGCCTGTTGAGTTGACCAATCAAAACTGTCTGTAGAAGCAGGCTGTAGACTAGTAATGGTGGCCTCATGGAGCCAATTATGAACGTTCTGGTTGTATAAATCCGACCTATGGTTTGTGTCACGTGCATGGAATCTGTCTGTATTTTGTAAAGTCAACTGTGTGCTGTTAGGTATTCGGAAGTCCTCTGAATTTATTACTGTTTGTATATTGTTAGGATTTCGTAACACCTCTTCATTCATCATTGACTGTGAATTGCTTGGCATTTGGAATGTCTCTGGGTTTAATGCTGTTGTTTGCTGTTGTCTTGTCCCTGGTTTTGTAGTCCTATCCGTGTTTGTATCAACTGTCTGTGCAGTCTCAAGCCTGTTGGTGCCCTGATCATAACTTGAGCTACTTACTGCTTCCGAGTAACCTGACCCTCTCATCCCTGGATGAGAAAGACTGGGAAGGAAGAAAAAACACACTGTTAACAAGCATGTTATCATGGAAAAAATCCACATTTCAAAAAGTGAAGTGACATTTTGTTACAGCATTTCAAAATATGTCATGTGCCAGATATAAACATTGTTCTTCGAGATCTCCGTTAACATCAATATTTAGATTCTAATTTAACCAGTATATCTGCCTAGCTCTTATGTTCCAACTGAACCAGTTGGCCTCGATTGTTCTTGTGTTTAATAGGTTTAGCTAGTCCCTGTCTGATCATGTAAACACACCTCTGAAGAAGCTGCTGTATGTGGAGGGAGGTACTAAAGTCAGCCAGACTGAGCTCTGGGTTGAAGGAGCCGCTCTCACTCACACCGACAGGGATGTGGTCTGTAGTGTCTGTGGGCTGACTGTTTACCAGTGGACCGCCAGACTGACTACAAGATTGGCCCCCATCATCTGACTGACCAGCCCCAGACAAGAAGGAAGTGTTGGAAGGTGGTGGCTTCTGAAAATATAAAGTAGAATGTTGTTCTAAACAGCTCTGATATACTGGTAAACCTTGAGATCACATGCTACTTTACACATTATACCTGTGATTTGTGTTAGAGTTAAGGTTACATGCTACCTTACATAATATTCCAATGATTTGATTTAGAGTTAAGGTTACATGCTACCTTACATAATATTCCAATGATTTTTGTTCGAATTAAGGTTACATTTTATCTAACACAATACACCAGTGATTTGAGTTTTTGACCCATCTCCCCTACCTAACTAATACATGTTCCAATAAATCAGAACTAGCCAAGTGATGTCAATATATCTTATCCTGTATATTACCAGTCAGGCAAGATATCAATTTATCATAACATGGTCCAAATTACCTGTTGTAAAATTAATTGTACAATCATGCTGAATAGAACTCTTTTGTGAAGAAGGTTTATATCAGGGAAGATAGCATATTTCCTTCAATGTACAAACACATCACATCTGATCTTATATTTCAAGTTAAAGATACTTCCAAAGCATGTTTAAAGGCTTTATGCTTAAAAAGACTCTTTCTTGAACCTCCCCTGAAAAAGGGCCTTTCTATATATAGTAACATGAAACATCAGTAGATACTTTTTCAACTTCTTCAAATCCATAAGAATTTACTTAATTTAATGACTTGACTATTTAAAACCATGTAATTGTTACAGATTTTTCCAGTTGTCCAGGAATTCAGTCAATTTATCTACACATATTTACTTCACCGATATATGCAGGTCAACCTTAGACACAAGAATGGCATAAATAAACAGTGAAGAATTCATGATATACTATAAAGTGATTGTTTTGTACAGGATTTAATCCCCAGGACAAAACTTGTGAGTTGTCGAACTGCATGAATGAAAGTTCTAAATTGTACAGTGTATATACACACTAGCCTATACATGTACCTTTCTGTGGGGAGAACCAGACAGCAGTGACACGGCCTCGTTCCATTGTGACTGCATCATGTACTGTAGCTTCGTCAGGATCTCACTCCTTCTCAACATGTAAAACAAGCATCAACATGCTAAGTTTAATGTCCATGTTTTTGGAATGGATTTAATTTTTTGCTGTTTCTTTATAAAGAATATTTCTGTATACATCTAAAACACTAATATGTCAAATTTTAACCAGGAAATTCTGTGATTTTAAAACCCAAACGATTACCAGGAAATTCTATCAGTCTAAAGAGCCAACCCATCATCAGATCTCAGCTATGACTGGATATTGAATATCTATAGTGTCCTTGTCAGATTATCTGGGGCTCTCCTGCATAGTTTAGATGGGATCCTTGAATACCAATCTGACGCGTCTTAACTTCTATAATAAACACAGGGATACCATCAATGTTAACATTTTTAGGGAAGGAGTAGTGATCTCAGCAGTGGTGACTAAGTCAGTTATCCCTGATTATAGATTAAAGGAGTGGCGACCAATGTCTGATTAAGTTTGAACTCTCCTCAATGGGACTCTAAATGAGTAAGCCCTGTGATAGATGTCTGATAAATAACTCTCACCTCTGGGACTCTAGTTTCTGTTTTGTCATCTGTAGGGAAGTTATCTCCGTCCTGAAGTCATGGAGTCTACAGCAAACAAACAGAGTCACTAATTACAAGCTGTGGAAAACTGTTCATTTTGCAAAAAATATCAGTGTAACATTATTTACGTCAACCTATGTTAACAAGAGCTGTTTTAAACAGCATAACTTACCTATTCAACATATTAGTTAAATACAACACTGGTTTAAATTTTCAAAAGAAATATCCTCCATGTAAAATATCCGCATCCTAGCACAAATCCAGAAATTATATTGATGAATATTCAAGTTTTAATTTAGCAAAGCTGAAATCACAGTAATTAAGTAATCAGCCCTATATTCTTAAAAGTGAGCTAAAATTAGCTCTACATTTTAGGGATGGTTAATATAGAGAAGGTAGCGTAAGAGATAATATTTCAGCCATTAATTCATACTCGTACAATGCTTACTTTTGTTCATATTCCTGGCAAAGTTTTCTACTTTCATCCTCGCGATTCTTAAGGTCATCATGGTAACGAGCGAGTTGTTTCTCCATCTCACGGCTGTGTCTCTGTCCCAGCTCTGTTACCTGACGACGATGGTTCTCTCTCATTGTCCCCTCTTCCTCCTCCATACGCTTGTGGACGTCTGCAATCTGGGAAGCTATCTGTTGGGACAAAGTTCAAGGTCACATTTATATCAGAAATGATGAACTCAATATAGTACAAAATAGTTGAGACCATACTTTTCCATATGTGAATATTCCATTTGATGTACCGTAAAAACCCATGTAATTTGCGCACTTTATTCTCAGAAATTTAAGACCCAAAGTGGGGGGTGCGTAAAATACACAGGTATAGAAAATTTCAAGTTTTTTTCAGGAAAAGGTCGACGATTCTGGGAGAAGCTATCTTGGATTATTTCCCTTGGTACACGGAACTCTAAGACAAATGACGATCAACAAATTTATTTATGTCAAACATCAGTAAAAGATACATATTGTGTTGTTATGTGAGTTTATGTGAAAAGTATTATTAAATAGGTAACCGTTAACAAAAAAAGTTTAGCCAAATTCCTATGCCAGAGAATCGCCGATCAACTTAGGACATTACGTTTCGACATCTCGGTGCGTTTCCCCATACTATTACGAAAATGTAGTTGTTCAATTTAAGCTCCGTTCCATGTAAGTTCTGTAAGTTTTTTTCAAATCGCCTATGCGTATACGTATAGCATGTTTTTTTTCCGGCTCACTTTCATGTTGATCTCGCGTCTATAATTACGTAAACACGTGATTGATAATAACCTCGTGAATCATTTCAATATTTATTAAATGAAGCATCGTAAAAATAGTCTGCATTAACTATTTTTTTCCTTGGGGTAGATTTGAAGAGGATGTATTGATTGTCCACGCTTCTAGAATAAACATATTTTTTATAATCCCTTATCGGTCAAATCAGTCTGTATTTATGACATTGCAGTAGATAGGGCTTCGTAATTCACGCCACGTGTTGGCGAGTGAAAAAAACAACAACACGGTCCGTCGATCGCGACTGCAAATCATTTCAATTAGTAGAGCTATTGTTAACGGGTAATCACAGAGATAGTGTTAGCTCATTACTGCATTGTAATTTGTAAAAAAATATCGCCAAACCACGGACTTAGATAATCTAATTCCGTGGCCAAACTGAACTGTGACATGACCTGGTTTGAAGTGACGTAACCCAAGCCGCCATGATGAGCCCTTCTCACTGATCGTAATTATGATCAATAAAAGGTATCTAATTATGTCTTTCACCAGGAGATATGCACCAGCGGTTACTAAACATCGAATTACTTATTAATTGATATGTTTTTGTAAGCAAGTAAATGTTTTATGTAAAATATTGCTAAAATGAATTGATGTATGCCGATATGCGCACACGTGTGTGTCATGTGTGATCAGATAATTCAAAGAAAACAAGCAACAAAATACACATTTTACGTAGTTTCTTCTTGGTTTTAAATATCATTTTACATCAATGAAAAAAAATCATAGAAATATATTTTTAAAAAAAATATTCAGAGATCGATTTTCGGAGCATGAACATCGTTTTTTCCCCAGATTTTTTGGGTGCGCAAAATATTCGAGTAGAAGCTTTTTTCCTCGATTTTCAGCCTCAAAAAGTACCTGCACAAATTACACAAGTGCGCAAATTAAATGGGTTTTTACGGTAGATATAAAGTAAACATGCTATGGTCATGTTTTATGTAAGTCAGCTAAAACCAACAATTTTTAGTAAATAGGTGAAGGGCCAGACTTAAATCAAGTAAAGCTGCTATGTCATATTTATATTATGTGATGTTATGTTCAGGTAACAGTTCATAAGTAAAGACATTATTGAGGCAAATTCCTATTAAATTTAGCCCATTTCAACATTACAAGTCAAGCTAATCATTTCTTTATGTTTAATACTATAAGGAAACCAACTAGAAGAGAGAAACAGGAATGGTACCTCTTTCTGCATCTGCGAATGTAGCTCTGCCTCAAGTGTTCTCTGTGAGGACTCGTACTTGTCCTCCATAATCCCTATCTCTACCTTCAGACTTTCCTGTCAACAAATCAGAGTATAACATACACACATTTTCTAATGACAAATGATACTGCTATATGTTAATAGAATTGTAATTAGGGAATGGATGTCACTGATGTAATACAATCCTAGATTACAGCAGCATAAATCTCCCTGAAAATTTGCTGTTGTATCATATCTTCATGACAAGAAAATGCTTTCCAACAGCTTTAATTTAAATCAGATAAAATCTTGATCAAAGTCTTGATAAGCTGAAATCACAATCAGACAAAGTCTTGACCAAACCTTTTCCCTCATGACGACATCCATGTCCATCTCTAGGCGTTTAATGTCTGTTTGAGATTTCTGTCTCTTCTCCTCCGATTCCTTCACCTCACTCTCCAGCTCAACATTCTTTGTCTGTAAACAAGATTTTGTTGGTTACTGTCCTAATACAAAAGTGGTGTTCTTCACATTTTGTCAGCATGTTTCATAATCTATTCCTTATAACCAAAAACATGTGTCAATATTTGTGCATCTGGGTGAATATTGCTTTGATCTGATTTCAGAGAATTTTCACAGAAATTAGTGAATGTCTGTTATGCATGCACTCCCCGCCACAAATGGCAGCGCTTGATTTATCGTAACCGTGACAGTGGCCTATAGGGGACTGGGTTAATAAGGCTAGACCCGAAACCTTACATTATTCTTCCTTAAAAAACATTGGAAAGTAACAGTGGGCATACTCCACCTACCCGCTCCTGTTGAACAATCTTGATATTTTTCTCTGTCACTTCCTCAATGCGCTGAAGCAGCTCTTGTTCTCGTTTGAACCATTCATCCTGCTCCTATAAAAAGACGCTACATTATTATAAAACAGCTTTTGAGCCAAGGTTTTTAAGTTCCAGGCAAAGGTAGAACATGAGAGTTTTCCTGACATGACACGTTTAAATTTTGGACTTTATTTCCATTACCTGGAAGTTTTCATAAATGTATGATTCCTAAAACTATAATAATGATATCATTACAAGCTTACCAATGAAAATATACTATCAAAAACAATTGAATGCTTCCTATAATTGACTGATCAGTCTGTTTTGAGATGCCAGATGTTGTAATATTGTTGTAACATTATGAAATCTGGTAATTTAATTTGACTATCTCAATTCAGCTCCAAGACGGCTCCATATCCTTTTATACTGTATCCTATTAAGAGGCACCAGTTATGCTTTATTAACATACAGTTTAAATATGTTAAAGCCTTTTCACTGACACAAACTTTTAACCAGTACATGTAAACTTCATTCTTATCAATTGAAAACGTGATTTCATTATAACTGTAGCAAAAAAAAAAATATTGTATGTACCTTTCGTAACCTATTCTGTTATACATAATAAGGTACCTACCTTGTAGACATGAATACCCTACATCACTTACCTATGTAATCTATCTATCACTTACCTTATGTAATCTATCTATCACTTACCTTATGTAATCTATCTTGCAACTGTTGTACTTTCATCTCGTTAAGTTCCCGGTTTTCCCGCACTTTCTGCCATTCCTGTTCCATGAGTTCTGTCCTTTCTCGTTCCGACTTAATGGCATCTTCAAAGTGACTGCGAGATCGCTCATGATCCTCAGCCTACAACCAAAACAGACAAAGTGACAAACTCCAAAAATAATCTTTTGAAATCTGACTTTGATATTTGAAATATACAATGCAAAGTATTGTAAGCAGTCCATAGATCCCCCATCTTGGACAAACTTCTGTATCTGAATTATTTATAATTTCCTAATCTAAGACAAACAGCTCATCAACAGAGAACTAAACGACACTCACCTCTGTTCTCAGTTTTTCTATGGTCAAAATGGCATCCTCCTTCTCTTGTCGAATCTCATTTACAGCCCGTGACATGTCTTGTTCAAAGTTGGCAGTAATCTATAAAATTTCAGATACATTTTATGTAATATACAAATAAATACTTCAAAATAATACTTACAAAAGCAGAATTCCCACACCAATATCAATATACTGCTTGATATCAAGTTAGGCCTGAAATGTTACGGGGGATGTTTGTTTGTTGGTGTTGTACATCCCATGGTCATTTAAGGACGTGCCAGGTTTTTGTGGTGAATAAAAGCCAGAGCACGCAGAAGAAAACCAATAACTTGCAGCCAGCAGCCAGTGCCTGGCTACTGCTCCATGTAGGCCTCGCACCCACAACCCAGTGTTGGGAGGCCTAGGGCTAGTGATTGAAGACGGCCGGACGTCTTAACCACTTGACCACTATATATGGCCCCCTGTTTACCGGGAAGGGGTTAACAAGTGGCAGGAGAAGCCTTAAAAATTCACTATTATTATTTTCCTTGATCTAATATTCAATTATTCACAACTACTTTGAAACCAACCACCCATATATTATCCATTATAAGTCCCCTCCCCCGGACACTTACTTATATCTGAAATACCTTTTAGATGTTCCTTTAATGTTGAAAGATAACACTAGCAAAGATTAGATGGTGTCTGTTTTTTAAACTCTAATCTATCTGTCTGCTTGATACATACACTCTGCTGTTTAGATAGATTTTCCTCCAATTGTGCCTTCTCTCTGTCAACTTGTTTGATGTATTCCTCCTTGTTTTCATCTCTTTTCTTCCATCCTTCCACAACTTTTGCTAATTGCTGAAAGATTGAATTAAAATAAAATCTTTCACAGCTCTTTGAACAGTTTTAAATAACCATAACACATGAATGGATACCAGTGTGACCTACAGATTTGTGGACATTACAAATCTTTCTATTACAGAGAGAAGCATTAGCCTGGGAACATGGTTGGGTAAAGAGATTGAAATCAGTGAAGATTTAAAGCCAGATTTAAATACCAATATTGTTAAGTACATAGTATCTATTACTATATAACTATGCCCCTTAAATTATTCCATGTATGACAAACATGCTGATCTTCAGAGTAGACAGGGTCTAGATTAGACAGGTTATGCCTTAGCCAACTAAAGATGAGTATACTGTATATCATTTGTGTTCTAGAGATTAACCTTAAAGACTTCAAAAGGATGTTAATCACAATCAGTCATCCCTCCTTATGAGTTCTCTATATACCCCCTTGTTAGATTGTTTACAATCAACTATATATGATATCCCCTGTTAAATGGGTATAAATTCATGAAATTATCAAATTCACAGTCAATTCTCCATACATATTGATATAAAATATAATATAAGTGATTGGCAATACCAATATAACATTACTTGGCCTAAAGAAAACAAGTCACATACCCTGTCAAGTTGTTCAATCATGATGTCCTTACGCTTGTCTGTGGAAACCGCCACAGCAACCTGTTGTTGAGTCTCTAAGAGCTGTAACAAACAAACTCTAGTTTACAAAGGAGCTCTGTAACAGTTACCATCAGTGTCACCAGGAAACACTAGTGGCTGGGGTAAAACTAGGGTACTCACGGTTGTTACAGTAAAGCTTGTTCCACTAACAGTTTAACACAGATCACAGCAGTTTTAGAATCAAAAGACTATACAAATGAGTGCAGTTAACTACCACAAGTTATGTCCTAAACATGTATTCTGCACCATGCTATACTGATAGGACAACTGGAAATAACTTCACTACTGCTAAGCAACATATGTACTTACTTTGACATTGAGTTTCTGGATGTGTTGTTCACAATGCTGCAATGAAAAAAGAAACATTGAAGATGTATTTGATATGCCACCTGACAAGGGAAAAATAATCGAAAAGTCAATCAAACAAAATTTCACATTCTCAAATGGTTTTAATTCCACCATTTTTGTTCATGGCTGAAAATCCATAAACTTTCTCTCATGATATCTGATGCACTTTGTCACACCTTGATTTAGGTATCAAGGATAAGAACCATAGAGTTATCCTACATCACTTGATCATGTGATCATCATGTGACAGCCATCATAGCACTTTATTAGGTAACAATACCAGGTTGCTAACAAAATTTGTAACATTGGGGTAAAATTTCATTATAAGTGTCCTGAAGAAATGCATTGCTCAGGCAAAATTAGTAGACCAGTAATAAATTCAAGAACCTTACCAAGATAGTGTTGCAGTTGCATTACTTACTTAGAATACCAGAGAGTTTTGACATTACAAGATCAAATAAGTGTCATATTTACAGAACATATGCGTAACTCATATGCAGTGTTTCAAGAACTTTTACTGCTGTTAACAATTATTGTAAGCTTTAATATAGATTAATGAAAAATCGTAAGATATCAAAGTAAGAACTATTTCATATATTCTTCTCTTTATAATATAACTTACCACAAAACAGAATAATATTTAAGCACCGACTCACATGACGCCAACAGACATGTACATTTCCCCTGAAAAATACTAGGTACAGCTAAAACTGCCTTAGACTAACCTCTGAACAGATAATAGGTCTATTTTATAATATATATTAAAGTGCTTTTACCTTCCTGCGATACCGTTCCTTCTCCAACATATCTCTGAGACGCTGATTCTCCTGATGCAAGGAGGCATCGCTACGAGAAACGTTAGAAGTATCCGACCAAATACGAGATGTGAAACTTGGGAAATTTTCATACAACTCTGACACATCTTCTTTGCCCCTGTAAATCACAAGGCATGGACGTAAACAAATATGTTGTTATCTCTTAGAATGTTTTCTAATTTGATTCAATATCTCACAATGGTTTCTTTAATATTTTATAAAATAAGTGCTTACAAAAATGTAAAGCCGAAATGGTCAATAAAACCTTACTCTTGTGCTATATATGGTGCTGGAATGCTACTTACCTGGTATTGGCCACTGACAGTCGCTATTTTGGTGCTTGATACAGGTAGGGTCTTGATGGGGGTTATTATCTACTTATATACAGACAGGTTTATTTTGTCTGATACGGGTAGGGGTTTTGATTGGAGAGTGTAATGGTACCTACCTGAATACTGACTGGTCAACTGGTGCCTGATACAGGTAGGGTCACAATGGAATAGTGTTATCCACCTGGATATTGACTGGTCAACTCTGTTCAATACAGGTAGGGATATTGATCGTACAGTGATACGTACCTGGATGCTGACTGGTCAAGTGGTGCCTGATACAGCTACAGGTCTCAATGGAGGAGTGTTATCTACCTGGATAATGACTGGTCATCTCTGTTCAATACAGGTAGGGATATTGATCGTACAGTGATACGTACCTGGATACTGACTGGTCAAGTGGTGCCTGATACAGCTACAGGTCTCAATGGAGGAGTATTATCTACCTGGATATTGACTGGTCAACTCTGTTCAATACAGGTAGGGATATTGATCGTACAGTGATACGTACCTGGATACTGACTGGTCAAGTGGGGCCTGATACAGCTAAAGGTCTCAATGGAGGAGTGTTATCTACCTAAATATTGACTGGCCAACTCTGTTCAATACAGGTAGGGATATTAATCGTAAATTGATACATACTACCTGGATACTGACTGGTCAAGTGGTGCCTGATAAAGCAACAGGTCTCAATGGAAGGGTGGTATCTACCTAAATATTGACTGGTCAACTCTGTTCAATACAGGTAGGAGTTTTGATCGTATAGGTGTTTTTTTGTTGTTTTTTTTATAGTGATACATACCTGGATACTGACTGGTCAAGTGGTGCCTGATACAGGTAGGGGTCCTGGGGTACATCCATCAAAAGTCCACTGACTGAATCAACATGGTTGTACTGGTGAGTTTCTATCAGCCAAGAGAGAGAACATAGATTAGGGAGGTCATGTTCATTGAACCTGGGATGACAAACTTTATACATTATCAAATATGCAAGTCTTGCATTGCAAAAGGACACAAAAACAATTTCTGATAAATATTTACCAGTGAATTGCTAGCACTGGTTTATTAAATTTCAATCCAAAATTTAAACACTGTAAAAGTGCAGTAATAACAAATCTTCGTCTTTGCAATCAGTTTTTCTTCAATCACTCCTCGGGCATATGTTGGTTTTTTTGCTTTATTTCAGACTGAGTATATATAATCTCATTTGTCATGATGACATCCTGATTTTATCAAGTGTATATATATATTTAAGTGTAAATAGTGTATCCAATACTTGATGATTATAAACAATTCATATTTGTTTATTTGATTTCTATCTGTTCTTGTTAGTTTAATTAAAGTTTGTGATTCTTCTCCGAAGTTAATTACGATTTATAAATGCTCTCAGTAATGTAGGTACATGTACTTAGTAAAGCTTGTAGTTAACACTTTGGCTAACCAAAAAAAATTGTTGTTTATATATATTCTATTTTTGCTGAAAATTACTAAAATGATATAAGTATAGTTTATTATTCTTTTCACATTGCCCAAATTTCTCACCATTGAGAGTATCTGAGGACAGTTTGAGCATACTCTGGAGCTGACTGCGGACATTTTCCATCCCCTGGACATCCAGACTAGTGTCTCCTCCAGGAGCATCTATACCAGAGTGAGGAAATTGCTGCTGGAATTATACACATTTACACCAAATTATGGATAAATCTGAATGTAGTAGATTCCAATAAATAAAACATCTGTAATCAATTTCAACTATATCACTGATGGTAATATATATATACCGGTACACAGTATAAAGTACTATGTAATAATTATTTGTTCAGTTTCGCTAATTCCCAATTTAAAAAAAAACAAAAAATAACATGCATTGGGAAATATCATCAGTAATCCCACATGCACAGGTTCGGGAAAATATCATAAGTTTAAAGAAATAAAACCTACAATGTGATTTGCAAAAAGTTTTCCTCTAGCTGTTTCTTACAGTAAAATGTAGAGCAATAATTAAACAAATCAATTTTCAGCGTTTTTGTTTTATATTCAATTTCAAGTTTCCCGTTATTTATGTAATTTGAATGCTCTTTCATGGACGGTATTGCGGTTATACTTTGAACGTTGCACATATAATGACTGGAAACTTGTATATATACATGCTTTTTTATCTAATTGGGAAAATAAAGACTAAAATTGGGAAAATACAGGTTCATTTTTTCAATTGGGAATTGGTCCCAATACCTGACCCTATAAACACCTGGCAAAACCCCTGCAGGTATATGAACTGCCTAAGATAATAAGAAGAGTTACCTGTTGACCCATGATACGCTGACCATCTTGCAGTGGATTCCGGCTATACTGCTGGACCTGGGTGACCACATTCACCCCAGGATGGTGTGTTTGAGGAGAACTTGAATCCTCCCCTATCCCTGCCCCTCGGTCACTCGACGATGATACTTGTCCTATTGTTCTGGACCTTTCTGATCTATTTCTATGCAAACTTCCTTCCACTTTTCTCTCATGTTCAGAAGGATAACTTTGTTGGGACCTATCCATTTTTTTCCCTTCAACTACTGTTGGCCTTTGAGCCATGTTACCCTTCCTGTCCATCGGAATTCCCTTTCTGGTCACATCCTCTCCATTCGGTCGAGTGTTGTGAACACTTCTCTGCTGCTGTGCAGACATTGCAGGAGGACCAACCGCTCTGTTAGACTTTGTCCCAGCACTATTGCCTTGTCTCATATCTGAACTTTGACATTTGACCCTCACACCAGAGGTGTCCTGTTTTGCCTGTTCTTGTCTGGCTTTGGACATGGGATTTATGACCTCTCGCTGCGAGTTCTTTGCTGGCATAGTTGATTTTTTATTGTTCTGTACTTGACTGTTACCCGTACGCTTTGGAGCAGCCATTTTGGGTTCTTTAAACAAATTTCTATTTTGCTTTGGTTGCTCAGTGGGAATTTTCCAAGCTGATGGAGAAGGTAATCTCTGTGAGGGATCAGCTGTATGACCATTTGAACTTTGATCATGACTTTGGAGAGAATCAGATCTTTGCGTTCTGGCAAGATGTAGTTGGTGGGGAGAATTCTCAACACTCTTGTCACTTTGTGCATTTTGTGCCAGTGACTGTGGGGAGCCAATGCCACGAGTCATCTGTCCTTGGTTTCTGGGTGGAGATCTTTGTACACCCTGTAACACTAACTTAGCTGGTAAGCTACTAGAAAATAGTTGTGTTTGGGGAGGTTGTGACTGGGGCACACTTTGAATATTAAAGTCATCAACACAATGAACCCTGGGAGATTGCTGCTTCAGATCGGATCCAGGCATTCTATTGTTTGGCGAGAATTTTTCTGTTCTATCGTATCCTGAATCATTAGGTATATTGACAAAGACTGATCGTTTTTCAACAGAATTACCGGTGACAGGAGATGTTTGATATTGCGTTTGAGGTGAACCTTGGTAGTCAAACGGTCTACTAGGTGGTGAATACTGAGACCTTGCCACTAAATTTGAAGCAAAAGGCCCATTGTTATTACCCCCATCTCCTTGACTTATATTTGGTTCAAATGCCATTGATGTGTTATACATATTGCTCATTCCATTATTATTCAATGGTGAGAATATTGTACGACTGTCTAATTCCCCCTCGCTTTCACTTGTTTGCAGTGGAGAGGATTTCAATTCAAAGAATCCTGTTTCTGGTGATGTTTCTCTTGTGTGTTCATCATCTGCCTGAGAACCACACACTTCTCTCTCCAGATAGGACATACCCCGCGCTTCAGGCTCTGGTGTTGATACTGAACGATTCATGCCATGAGGGATCATCTCGTCAGTCTGTCCAGTTTCATCCATTGCAGAAAAGTCTAGTTGACGAACAGGTCTAAATATCACACTTGATTCATTATCACTTCCAATACCTGGGAGAAACCCACTGCTCTGTTGAAATGCTGGACTGCCCTCAGGCCCTGATCTCCTGTAAGCTTCCATATTTCCAAAATCTGATACTGTATCTCTACTTATATCACCATTATTTTGTAATCTATTCATATAGTTGTAGTTTCCTGGTAGTCGTTCTGGATGCATCATCCCCTCCTCTCTGTGTTGTGAGTCTTGCACATTATCATAGCTGTCAGACATCATTACAAAATCTCTCCGATCATCCTCTTGAGCCCCTTCTCCCTCAAAATGACCTGGTACAGAACTTTGTCCTTCAAATCGTATTGCCTCATGAGGAATGCCATCATTTCCATTTAAACTGTCATTGAATTCTTCCATTCTTACTCTTAGCACTTGATGTCACTGCTTCTAAAGATATCTTCCTCCGTTTTAGTTGATTTATGCCAATTGTAGCCTCCTTCACATTACGGCAGTCTAAAATTTGCAAATGAACACAATTAGGAACAGCAGCACCTGAAGCTATGTAACACATAAGTAGTTCAGATTTGGGCAGCCTCAAATAAACATTTTGACAGATTCCCAATCCCCAAAAACACGATTGACTCATATATAATTAGTTCAAATGAAGATATTTTAATTTTGTGTAACTGACAACAAAACCCAAATAACATCAGAGTAGGATGTCGATGAGCAAGTACTGTAATCGTGAATTCGTGCATCGACATGCAACGTGATTCAAGAACTTTGAAGTTTGTTTACAATATTGTTTCTTATCATTTTTACCATTACACTCATTTGGTCATGCCGATACAATATGAAGAACCTTGAGTGAAAATTATGTTACGTGTTTTACCTGTTTATTTCACTTCCCTTAGATAACACGGAAAGAAATCACCAAAAAACTGTGTAAACATTGTAAAAACACGCTTCAAAACTAACCGCATACACACACGCGTGCGCAATGAAATAACGAAAAATTTCACTTCCGGTATAATGATAAAATTTCACTTCCGGTATAATGTTATATTATTGCACGGTGTGTTCGATAACATTTCATGTAATTCTGTATTATTTAGATCGACTTAACGCCGTATGTTTCGCAATATGACATATTAGCATAAAATAAATATGATATCATTTTTTTAATAATTTGTTGTCCTTATATTAAAAAAAATAGTACACGGCTCATTAGGAATTAAAATCTGTTGTGAGGCACTTCCGGTGTACTCTTTGTAGGTGTAGACAAAATGACAGTATACAACTTTTATATTTTTGATAGAAATGGTACTTGTCTACACTACGCAGAATGGAACCGAAGGAAGCAGTCAGGAATGGATAGAGAAGAGGTGCTATTAGTTTTGTTCAAGGAGTCTTGATCTGCAATAGAATTCTGAAGTCTTGTGAGCATGAGCTCTCCGACTTCTGTTGCAACATTGGCAATAAGATAAATGATGGACACAGATAATCAATATAGGTTCATGATTACTATTTCTGGTAGAATACCATATTACCTATTCCATAGAATTTCTGAAAATCGCACTGGACCCAGACTCGCTCAGGTCCCCTGGCTATCCTAAAGTCCTATCCAAATTTGTCCATGTTAAGAGGTAGTTTGTTTTCTTTTAGAAGGCAATATAATACAATAAATACTACATCTACTGATGTAGCATTTTATAATGCTTCACAGAGTTTTGAAAATCATTCAAGCATTACCTTTACCTCTGAAACCCTTTGGCAGATCCAGGTGGTGAGGTTGGGGAAGAGGGGCGATTCAGTGTGATTTTTGATAAAGGGAGAAGATCAGGAAGTGTATGGTGTAGATGAACATTATAGAATAAAATTGGATAAATTATATATTGACACAACATTTCCTTGCAACATGGAAGTGAAGAAATGAAGGACTAGTGATTGTAGACAGTCAAACACCTTAACCACTTGGCAATTAACCCAAGCCCTCTCTTGTCGATAGATCACAATGGTCAAACCTTTCGGACCATGATGAGGTCAAAACATCTGTAGCTTAAGCAAAATGACTGGGGAAAATGTGTTTGTCAAGACTGGGATTTGAACCAGTGACCCTACGCACTAACCAATTGAGCTACCTGGTCACTGGCATTCGACTTAGTCAAGTTCAACTACACCTGTATATATATGTACTCAACATAAAACTGATCAGAGAAGTATAATGTAGTGAATCGATTTGGAAGAAATATATTTTACATTTCATACGATTAAAATTTCATACAAATATTGTTTTCATTACAGGAGTACAAACTGATGTATGGAATGATTCATTCTATAAAATCTTTTGTGAACCGGATATCACCAACAGACCTGTATCCTTTTTAGAGCACTGTCTGCAACCTCATTAGCGGTGAAAAGGGATTTGTCAATCTCATTTAAATAACTATTTGTTAAGAATGGATTGACAGATTTAATTCTGATTTCATATTTAATGAACAACAATGTATTCCATGGTTCCTTGCATTACACTAGGTAGCATAGTTATGCAGGAATGTTTGGAGAAATTGTATCGGTTTACTTAAGAAACTTACTGATTAAGAAAACTCAATTACAGGTAACATACTTTGGATAGTTACACTGCAAACACATTACTAGATCATTTAATCGATGCGACATGTTGATTAATAACTAGATATTCATATTCAGATATACCTTGGTCAGTTGCAACTATACTTGAGAATACACCTTCTCCAGGTCCTAACTAATATGTGACAGAATATATATATATGTATGTGGATGAAATATTGTTTAGATCATATACTGATAAATAAGGATGCTGAAAATTACAGCAGCAATAGATCCCTCGGGTACTCAATTGAACATTCCTTAGACAGCTGCTTCCTTAGGCTTAAATTGGGTCCCAAGTTGTCAGCTGGTGTTGCTGTAATAATTGTTAATGGAAGCTAGGGATGGCTTGTTCAATCATTTAGTCTGCAGTTTTTCCAGCAAAATCCATGGAGAAGGCTGTCAAAAAAAAAATGTTGTGTTTTAAAGACAAAATATCTAATATTTTAGCCAATCCTTGACAATTTGTCAGAAAAGATGGATTTCTCAACTTTAGAACAAGTCAGTATAAGCTTCACTTTTATGAGACTCCAAGTGGGATGAAGTTAATCATGAACACAGACCTGTCAGTAGGAAACATAAAGGATGTTTTGCATCAAATGTATAGCAATGTAAGTATGCATGTAATTTCCATAAATTGAAGATTGTATCAAAATGGGGCTTTAGAAATATTCGATTTTCTGATTATTTTATAAACCTACATTGCTGGGCTATACATTCACTAATGGATATATTTTGCCAACTGAAAAAATACTTTCACTTTCTTTATTTAACTTTCACATTTTTCATTGAGAGAAGCTTATGAGAGACTTAAAATGGAGTACTTCAATATCTAAATGATATTTTGAGTGTTACATGATTTCAGCAAGATATAAGGAAGTTTTGAGTACAGAATTCATGCATGAGAATGGTTTCATGAATACTAGCTTTGAATGTTTCTACATATTTCATCTGTACCTCACTAGTCTAGTATGCCTAGATATGTAATGAGAATAGAGACATGTATCTATGGACAGCATCTTGATATAATGGTCTGTATGTAAAATGTCAATTTTGTATGCGTTAAGAATTCAAATTCATTACCTGAACTATGTTTTAGGACCTTTTTATTAACCAACATAATTTTGATTAGACTTTCCTAATTTGGGAGGCTTGTTTCTGTTTGGAATGGGAATAACCAAAGTAAGTTCTTTGATTTTTTGATACTTTTCAGATTTTTGTAGAATATGTGGTAAGAAATCCAATGTGTGCCCTGGACCAACCCATCAAAAGTGAACTTTTCGAGAGCAAAATGGATGACTTTGTGCGAGGTCTATCATTTTTCCCGTTGCGTGTGACATAGGATTGAAAAGATTGTATGTTTATTTACTGTACCTTCATATTTTCTTTTAAGTTTTTGTGGATATAACAACAAAAATGAATGCCTGGATTGGGAGCTGTGTAATATATTAGAATACTGATGGATGTTGGATTTTCAAGATACCAGAGTTCATTAGAGCTCAAGTGTAATAATTTCGGCTTCCAAGGAAAAGTAAACATAGTTTCATCATTAAAGGATGAGACCGGCTCAGATTGTACCGTTATTGTCCGTCTTTGACAATTTAGTTGTCAGTAACTCATGATCAGGAAAACAGGTTCTAGTGTCAACGGTTTGTCTGGGACAGTATCGCCTACAATACCTGGGCGAAACAAAATCAAGTGTTCAGTTTTGTCTTGAAAAATTATCATAAATACCCCCGAGGAAACTAAAAAAATCTGATGTTATATTCAGAATCCTTCTCTTTTATGCTCAGTGTACATGTTGTAAGGTTGGCTATGTTTGCAACTAATTAAACCATTTCAATTTCAAATTGACTTTCTCTGGTTTGCGAGTTTTCATTCACACAAAAACGAGGTATATGACCTGCGATAATCATATGATCCGAGTGTTGTTCATCTGTGAGTTATAATCTGTGACATATGTATGACCTGCTAGTTGTATTGTCTGGTAGTGGTATGGGTCTTGGACAATATTTCTGTACTTCAAACGAAGTCTTCGAAAAAATTCTTGGAATTTAGTTGTTCATTAGTAATGAAATTTATTGAGGTTTCTTATACAGAATACAAATTCCATACACCAAACATCAAAAGTTGGACACAAAATAGCATCAACATGAATACGGTAGCTACATAATGACGGTGCTCAATGGTCACAGTAGCTACCTTCAGTAGTTTATTCCATTCTTTTAATCAAAATCTGACAACTCCTTTCCTCAAAACAAATCGTTTGCACACTATCAATCAGCCAATCAGGTTGTACTGCCTCATTAAATATGCATAATTTTGGCTGAGCAAAGTTTTTACAAAGGAAATGATAAGTATGTGTGTACAGTGTGTCATTTGAATTTAATATCGTCCAAAATATCATTCAGAAATCATAAGCCAATCGTGAATCAACAGCCTCGTTAAATAGATGTGAATCTGAGTGTTGAACTTGAGTGTGGGTGATCAGTTGATGTATCTCAGGCAAGTTTCATGAATTTCTGATAATTTCTACAGAAAGCATCAACCAAAAATTCTCAGCAGTCTCATCAAACATACGTGAATTCTGCCCAGCATTGAACTACAGCCAAAGACTTGCCAATAGGTAGGAAGTACACGAGGCAAATTTCATTGTAACCACAAGTTCCTTCAAAAGATGTCGTCTGGAAACTGACACTGACCAATCATGAAAACAAAGTAATTCTTTTAGTCACCTTTGAAGATGACACAAAAAAAGCCATCACAATAACAAATTTCGTCAAGAAAGATTTATTTCTCAGTAATATGGCATCATCAATAGTTAAACTTCAACAAGAGTTGTCATATTGTACAACAGTTAATACAGAAATTTAAACTTTTGCAACACATGTGAGTATAAATCTAGCTAAAGTATTTAGTATTAAAGCAATACTGGACTAATCCTGTCCTATACGGTACAGAATGGAACAGCACAGTGAGACCAGTTCTAAACAGTCATCTTAATATGAGACAATTTTAAAAGGGGATACAAAATATTTATTACTGCATTTGCTTGACTTAGAACTGTTCCCACACAAGCTTATCAACAATAAAATATTACATACTTCTTTATTTAGCATATTACAACGGAAGAAACCTCTACTGAGCTACACCGGTATCAAATATAACGGTTAAATGCATGGCTTCCATATTGATACATATTGTGTAAAGATGCATTGTACAGAATACTTCTTTGTCCAAGGTTGATGGTGTTGATCAGTCCAAGAAACAAATATTCCAATCGAAAAAAATCTACATTAATCCGAGTAGTTATATGATGAAAACCTTAACAAACATACTTAATGTATCACCACAGATATGCCTAAAACTTTATTCTCTGTCCCCAGGCTTCAAGTCTGACAAGTATTTATAAATTTGATTTACCAAATTTGATTTACCAGAGGGGGAAATGTAAAATAAGATGAGGCAAAAATTTCAATTTTAAGTGTATATAATACTGTCATTATATATTGAAAAATTCTGAATAATATGAATTTTTCACAAAATTTTGAGACAATTTCATGGCTGTAAATTTTAACAAACATTACTTTGATCAATTTGTAAATTTATTCATATTGTACATGTGCTCCTTGTCATTTACTCTACATGTATTATGTTGAAGATATGAAAACACATGAAGCAAGCACAGATCAAAATTTTACCCTGTAAGTGTTGATGGAAAATGAATCAATGATTCGTCAAAACTTCAGCCTCACCCAAAGGTGACTTTCTCAAAATATTTATTGCATCTAAACTTGGTTTACAGGCAACCTCCAACATAGAAAAAAATATCAAAAAAGGGTGCATAAAGAAATAGCTTTCAGGGTTTGAAAATCAAGAGATATTTTCAGAAATATTTCAAAATGTACATTTGTATATTATTTAACTGCAAGTTCTCATTTAAAATATATCTTATTGGTATCAGTAGAAGTGATTACTCGTGCAAAATTAGAAGTTTCTGAGTATTAGAAATAAATGACCATTACAGCTATGTTTAAAACGAGGACTGAATTATTTATTACATCTGTCTGGCAGGTTTCATTGTCTATGGATAACAGAAAACTGAACAGTTGAATTTCTGTGAGCCTTACTTCAGCAGTTTATGTATAACAGAAAACTGAACAATTGAACTTTTCTTCAGACTAGGTTTAGCTGTTCAACACCTGATTATCTTAATGAGATGTGAACCAGAGTTTCTGTCACGAGATATCTAAGAAATGACTTGAATTTTGAACTTTTGCTCTCTTTTTTTTTTGTACTCCGTTCAGCATTTGGAACCCTGATATGTAAATGTGGTTATTTTCAATTTTATTTTAACTAACAATATATTTCAAAAGAATAAAGTTCTGTATTAACTAGCTTTTTAGTTATAGTCAAAGCACCTGTTATCAGTCACTAAAATTTTAGCTCACCTGGCCCTCCAGGTGAGCTAATAAATGATAAACCTAGATAGTACCGAGTCCTGGCCCTCCAGACAAGCGTTCCCATGTGTCATGTTCATGTATAAATCAAACAACAATGATTCATGAGAGTTGATACAGGAAGAAAACAAATCTTATTACAATACCATCAAAAACAATATAAACTTTGAACACACACTGTATAGACTACTATTTTTAGTATTTGTTCTTATTCATGTCTCTCATATGGGTATAAGAAGACATGTTAAGTACAATATTGGTGATATTCAATTCAGTATTATTATTGTTTTGGTGCCAGACTAAGCAGTAATTCCAAATACTAAAGCTTCATTATAGCAAATACACTACTAAACAAATTTGTCTGGTTTGTGTTTGAGTTATCCCCCTTATGTATTTTCAAAGAATTCATCTTTCAGAAGCATCAAAATTGTCCTGATTTAATAATCAATAACAAGGGGGAAAATGGGGTTTCTCTTAAGAGTTCCTTTCTGATAGATTTGTATTCTAGCAATATGGTACATCATTTGTGATTTGAACTTTCTAGACATGGTCTCAATTCCCCATTTAAAGATAGAAGTTGAAAGCATCCTTTTTCTGATGCAATGTTTCCCTAAGCAATAAAAACAAGCAATAAAATAAGAAAAGGAAACCAACAAATATCATAGATTATTCTTAAATATCTGCACTAAAACTCTACAATAACTTTGTACATTTAATATAAAAATATTGATTTGATAGAATATGCTATTTATTATAATATTCTGTCTATTATAACTACATAATAGGCAAATTGAAAATTACAAAAGTCTCTCAAATTAAATACAAAATGGAAAAATAGTACGCACAAGTCTGGGACTACAATATGGAGACAATTACAAGACAACAAGATACAAGCAACATCATCAATATAACACAATATACCTTCAGTGTAACTTAGATTTGATTTACTTTGATGTGACAGCATTGAACCAGCATTAAAAAGGTCTAGTTTTCCTTTGTCTTCAATATCTCACCCACAGTATTAAAACCCTGTCTTTGTATGGAGGTGGACAGATTTTGAACAAAAACATTGTAATAATATGACATTGAGAAATGAAATTAGCAAGAAAATTACTTCAATCTTTGAATATTAATTGACTGAACAAATTAATAGATTGTTTTTCCACATAACTCTTTAATCTTACTGACTCTAATCTTAAATGTTTTATTGTTTTGTCCATCTGATATTAGGCCATCCTTAAAAAAAAAAAAATTGCAGTTTGGAACTGGAAAACTGCAAACAAACTATTTTTTAAGGATGACCCTACTTTGTATTACACTGTTGTAGAGTTATATAGGATATAGGGGATCAGTAAATTTTAAAGGGGGTGAAGCCTTCCAGTATTGAACCCCTTCATTTTTAATAACAAACTAATACAACCAGTTGCATCAAGGACTCTTAAGTTAACTTCATTAACTATCAGAAAACATAAAATAAAGGCAAATATTTTAACATCAATATTTTATTAGCGAGCTTTTCAGAATTTTCTACATACATGTACATTGTATATATCCCCCCTCTCACCTCACACAGTGTCTTCATATCTTGATAATATACAGGTACACATTTATCAAAAATATTATACTATATATCCCATCATCCCCATCCTCAATGACCTTGACTATTCACTACCCTCTTCAATATTTATCCTCCCTTCCCTGCTGACGCCGACTATTATTTATCGCCTCCCTCCATGACCTTGACTATTTATCTCCCCTCCCCTACTGACGCCAACTATTATTTATCGCCTCCCTCCATGACCTAGACTATTTATCTCCCCTCCCCTACTGTCGCTAACTCCCTCCCCTACTGTCGCTGACTATTAGTTATCGCCTCCCTCCATGACCTTGACTATTTATCTCCCCTCCCCTACTGACGCTGACTATTAGTTATCGCCTGCCCCGTGACATTTACCAGAAAACTCAGCTGTATGTCTTAAACATAAAGAGAAGATCAGAATTTTTATATAAGAAACCTATAAAATGCCTTTTTATGGAGATCAAGGATACAAAAAGTTTGTTTCAAACAAAAGTTACCCTTTAGGCATGATAAATTTATTAAAAATATTTGAAGCCGCATGATTCTTCTGCATTTCTATTTGCTTCATTTAAAGTATGCGTCGTTACTGACTCATTTAAATGAAAATGTTTAAAATGAAAGAATGATAGCAAAATTAGAAACCTAAAGCAAGATAGCAAGAATAAAATCTTTGTTGACTGCATTTTGTTTATGCCAGTTTTTTTAATTTTAAGTGAAAGTAATGATAGTTCACAGCTGACTAACTTTCTTTGACATCCATTCTTCTTTTAACAAGACATTACTCATAAAGGTTTTTAAGACATTACTCATAAAGGTTTTTTTAAATCAATATAAATATTAGACCTTTTAAATATCTTTGAACATGAATGACCTTGACCCCTTTGGGACATGTAAATACAAACAGGAACCATGGCAACATTATGTTAGATAATAAATATATATTTAAAACGAAATATCAGACAACAAATATTTGCAAATAAAAACAACAGCAAAATTTAACAAGATAACATCAACAACGAATGGCTTACATTTTGTGATTTTGTCCTTAGAAGGTATAATAGGGTTAGATGTACGAATGTGACATTCATGTTGAAAATGAATAATCAGAAAATGTTTCGGGAATAATATAGAGATTTTTCATAGATTTCAGCAAGATTGAAACAAAGGCAGACTCTATCATAAGTAATGGAGTTTAGACATTCAGGATATCATGTTTGCTTATACTGCAAACTTTACACAAATATTATTGACTGGCAAATATTCTGCACCCTAAACAAAACAATTAGTATACTAAAAACACCTGACAATTAGGGCTGATGAGTGTCAGTAGGCAACATTTCACGTACAGCACCGACATATACAGCAGTTCATGTTAATGACATCTGTCATGGCGCATGTTGTTTACATACGTTGTAATGTGTAGGACACGTTGCTGCGACCTGTTGGTTACAAATACTTTAGTTTGCACCGTTGAAGCTTTTTGTTGGCTATGTTGTTGAGACCTCCTAGAACATGTTTATACATGCTGTTGTGCACACTGTCGAGGCATGTCGTGGGCATGTTGATGACACGTTAATTTGGTCATCCATCTTGTGGCATCAATGCATGATGTAGTCTAGGTGGTGACGTATGGCATAGTACGCCCCTTGTTAACACATGTAGAACACTTTGGTGATCAACAGCCTAGGCGTTGATACGTTTCACAGCACATGATGTTGACACCAGCAATGACACATGTCATAGCACACATTGTCGACACACGTTCTTTAAAGTTGACAGAGTGATCACAGATAGATTTTGCAGCAATATCAGAACCTGGTGTCGAGACTCAGCGAAAATATTTTGTCAATATATTCTCTTCATTTGTTCAAATGATATGAAAAACTGAAACATTTGGTCAAGGAAAGCAAGGTTATGTTTAATGTTAGGGATCAACAATTTTATTGAAAACTTCCCTACATTTCCTGAAAAACTAGCAAAGGTAAATGTAAGGAAAAAGTATCTCTTTGAAACTTATCCTGTTTCAACAACACTGAACCACTGGCCATTGCACAAAACTAAGTTGTTCTTCATTTGGAATGAGATTCATCAGTTTAACTTTGGTATGAATAATAAATGCTAGGTTTGTTTGGAAAACAAACAGCGATTGAAAACGTTTTGCAAGCTTTTGAAAGCGTCTGTTACCTTTGTCAAGCAAAGAATGCAAATTACCAGAGTCTTGACTCAGAAATCATTAAAAAATAATTCACTGAGCCAGAATGTGCCAAATTAGTAAATCAGTATGCTGTCAGACAATAGCGAGACAATTTGCCAAATAGCACTGTAATACTGCAGAGACAGATAATATGTTAACCCATTCTGCCCCAAAGTGGATGATAAAATGGGGTCATAAAGATGTCTCAGCTGGTCCCCTCAATCCCCTCCCCCATCATCTATGTTCATTGATTCTCCCTTCCCTTCTAATCCAGATGGATTCTTTGATTCTTTTCACTTTCCAGTTGTCCTCCTTTTCAAGCTCTTTAAGGTTGTTCCAATCTATGATGTGGCTGTGTATGTTAGCATAGTCTATAATAGTTGATTTATTGAGACATCTTTATGAATCCATTTTCATTTCCACTAAGGGGAGGAAAGGGTAAACATATTACCCGTCCCTCTGGCTGCCTGATACATACAAATCATTACTACTGCCATCCCACATTGCTTTCTTTTCTTCTTTCTTTAAGTGCCATGGGTGTTAATTCGTTTAAACACTGTATTTCTATACTTGGTTAACAGAAGTGAATCTTCAGTAAAGGATACAATTACATTCCACGGTCCTAGTCGGAACCAATTTGGTATAAAGCCTTTGTAGAGAGCCATTAATCCTTCGTTCCTCACCGTCTAAAACAGAAATAGAATAAAAGTGTTAAACACACTGACTAATACCATCTAGTACCCCATAAAAATGGCTCAAAAGCTGAACTCATGCACTTTTTTGTATTGCCTTTGGAAAATCATAATAAATACACTGAATTTCTAAAAATACAGTACATGTGATACTTAGATAGAGGCACAATGGTCCTGTATACATGTCTGTGATATTCTTAAGAAAAGATCAAATTTGCCTGCATACATGCATGTAAAGGCGGTACAATGATCCTGTAAGTACATGTGGTATTCTATGGAAGAGGTAAAATGGGCCTATATACATAACTGTGATATTCTTTAGCAGAGGCACAATGATCCTGTATTCTTACTTGTGATATTCTGTAGAAGAGGCACAATGGTCCTGTATATATACCTGTGATATTCTGTAGAAGATGAACAATGGTCCTGTATAATACCTGTGATATTCTGTAGAAGATGCACAATGGTCCTGTATAATACCTGTGATATTCTGTAGAAGAGGCACAATGGTCCTGTATACATACCTGTGATAGACAGTCTATAGAAGAGGTATAAATTGTCTGTACGGCTGCTGCCTCCCCTACAACAGTGCTCTTCAGTGCTCTCTGATTCATCATTCGAGTCTGAAAGTAAGAAGGACTCTATGAGCTGATTTGGTCTTGGAGAACTGGGATAGGGATGTCAACATATATCAGGTACAATGATATTTTGGCCAGAAGACCACACATAGGCACACAGTTAATAACTCTCACTCATCCCTCAGAGTCAATCTTTTATATATACATTTTCTCTTAATTATTCTCTAAATTTTGTGGCTTCTTGGTACAAAAACAAGGTTTCATCCAAGATAAATGAGATCATTGTTTGCAATTTATTTTGAATATAGATACATTATTGTACAAGAATTTCTTTCACAAATCATACCTAAAACAATAAACAGCTCTATGAAGATAGTCCACAAACATATAACAGCATTACCGTAAGACTTCCCTTGATTTGTTTAATTTGTTTTATCTTTTATTCAATTAACTACTTGCTAAATAATCAAAAAAATTCTTTAGTTTTCTCCGTTTGTTTTCAAAAACCCAAAGTTTGTTTTTGAACACAAACAATAACTGAAAACTTATTTCACAAGCTTTCAAAGAAAGGTCTGCTTCCTTTGTCAAGCAACGAGTGGAATGCAAGTTACTTTTACACTATATAATCATACCAAACTTTATATTCTAAACCAAGATGTTCACATATTTAGCTGTTGTATTACTGCCAAACCTGGGTATATAATAGTGCTAGGACTACGACTTTCATCATAACACTGTAACATATACAGTAGGTGTGGGGTATATAGAAATGTTACCCGAGGGTGTAGAAATTGGGATCAAATGACCTCAAAATCTTCATCAGAGGGTAGAGTATTCATATACCACATACCTACATTACTGTGGTTTTATAGCAAAAAAATATCTAAAAACAAGGGGAAATATTTGACACATTTACAGAAAACAAAATGACCACAATCTCATATAGGTGACCACAATCAAAGTATCCCCCGACCTTACCGCCAGAGACGTCGGACAGAAGTGATAAACCGACCTTACTACCAGAGACATCTGACAGATGTGGTAAACCGACCTTACCGCCAGAGACATCGGACAGATGTGGTAAACCGAGTGTTCTGATATATGCATATGCCTGCTTTGACAATTATATCAAGAACAAGAGGCCCAAGGGCCTTAGCGGTCACCTGAGTTATATCATAGGTACTGGTAGCTTTATTTTATTGTTTAGATGTGATGTGGAAATCAGCATGTAAACTAAGTGAAATACAATACTTGTCATGTCATCAAAGGATAAGAATTTGAAAATATTGGTAAATGTTCCCTTTGGGGCCCAGCCCTAGCCCCTGGGGATGGGGCAGGAATCCCAATTTTACAAAGTAATACTCTCATTCACCAAAGATGATTCTGACTAAGTTTGAGTAATTTTCTGCTGAAAATGGATAAAATATATACCCAAAAGTGTTATTTCCCTATATAAACTATAGTAAACTTTACCCCCTCCCCAAGGGAGAACGGATAGCTCGGGGGTCCTGAAATTTACAATTTAAGTAAAGCCCCTGATGATCTTTCTTTCCATGTAGAGAAAATGACTGTAGTACCTCTGAGTCTGGAGAAGAAGATTTTTGAAATATTGGTTAATTTTCCCTTTGGGGCCCCACCCTGGCCCCAGGGGTTGGGGTAGGAATATCAATTTTACAATTTGAAACCATCTTCTTTCAAGGATAATTCTCACCAAGTAAAAATAATTTCCTACAGAAAGTTGTCAAAATATACCCAAAAGTGTTATTTCTTTATATAAACTATAGTAAACTTTACCCCCTCCACAAGGGAGAACAGATAGCTCGGGGGTCCTGAAATTTACAATTTAAGTAAAGCCTCTGATGATCTTTCTTTCCATGCAGAGAAAATGACTGTAGAACCTCTGAGTCTGAAGAAGAAGATTTTTGAAATATTGGTTAATTTTCCCTTTGGGGCCCTGCCCTGGCCCCAGGGGTTGGGGTAGGAATCCCAATTTTACAATTCTGTAGCCTCATCTACCAAGGAAGATTCTGACCAAGTTTGAAAAAAATCCATCCACTGGCTCTTGAGAAGAAGTTGAAAATGTAAAAAGTTTAAGCACGACGACGGACGGAAAGCGATTAGAATAAATAGGTCACTTGAGCAAAGCTCAGGTGACCTAAAAATTATAACAATATCCATGGTAATAGATACAGATTACAGAAACAATCACAGCAAAAATGTTCACTATCATATTGAAATAAAAGAAGAAACTAGAACACTGACAGGTCAGTAAGGGCCCCGTCTTGTGGCAATATATCCCCCATAATCATCAAGAAGCAATCTGCCCATATAGCTGAGCTTGACGTTTGATATTTGGACTTCAGAAAGAATCGCAAGGAAGCAAAATATACATTTTACATGTACTATGATGTGAGTCTTGTTTCCTTCCACCTACATATTTGCTGGGCTAACAGAAATGTAAATACCGGTGCAATACTCATTTGTTAGCTTTGATTTGTTTTATTTCACCTTTTATACCTCCTCCATCATGAGCCAGGGTCAAAGTCAAAGATCCACTTTGTCTTTGACCTTTGGACCCAAATGACCTTGACCATTAACCCAGTGACCCTAATTTTTGGTCAGTTGACTTATTCTTTAATTCCGACCAACTTTGCTTCTTAATATCATAACAAAATGTTCATCAGTGAAAAATACAAAACTTGACCTTGACACTTTGGACCCCGTAACCTGGACCTAAGGTCAGTTGACTCTGTGTTAAGTTCTGAACAACATTGCTTCATAATGTCACAACAAAATTTTCATCAGGGAAAAAGTACAAAATTTAACCTTCACTTTTGACACAGTGACCTTGACCTTTGTTCAATTGACTCCTTGTTTAATTCTGAGCTACATTACTTCAAAGTGGCATAGCAAAATGTTCACCAGTGAAAAGATACAAAATTTAACCTTGACCTTTGACCCAATGACCTTGACCTTTGGTCAATTGACTCCTTGTTTAATTCTGATCAACTTTGCTTCATCATGTCATAACAAAATGTTCATCAGTGAAAATATGCAAAATTTGACCTTGACCTTTGAATCTCATGGCCTTGACCTTTGACCTCGACTTTTTACCTCAGTGTGTCTCTTTGTTTAATTCCCAACAACTTTGCTCCATAACGTCATAGCGAATTGGTTCACCAGTGAAAAGCTACAAAATTTAACCTTGACCCCTGACCCAATGACCTTGACCTTTGGTCAATTGACTCCTTGTTTAATTCTGATCAACTTTGCTTCATCATGTCATAACAAAATGTTCATCAGTGAAAATATGCAAAATTTGACCTTGACCTTTGAATCTCATGGCCTTGACCTTTGACCTCGACTTTTTACCTCAGTGTGTCTCTTTGTTTAATTCCCAACAACTTTGCTCCATAACGTCATAGCGAATTGGTTCACCAGTGAAAAGCTACAAAATTTGACCTTGACCCCTGACCCAATGACCTTGACCTTTGGTCAATTGACTCCTTGTTTAATTCTGATCAACTTTGCTTCATCATGTCATAACAAAATGTTCATCAGTGAATATATGCAAAATTTGACCTTGACCTTTGAATCTCATGGCCTTGACCTTTGAGCCTCGTCTCGTAGGACTAGATACTTTCCTATCTACTTGACCTTTGACCTCGACTTTTTACCTCAGTGTGTCTCTTTGTTTAATTCCCAACAACTTTGCTCCATAACGTCAAAGCGAATTGGTTCACCAGTGAAAAGCTACAAAATTTGACCTTGACCCTGACCCGATGACCTTGACCTTTACCTTTGGTCAGTTGACTCCTTGTTTAATTCTGATCAACTTTGCTTCATAATGTCATAACAAAATGTTCATCAGTGAAAAGATGTAAAATTTGACCTTGACCTTTGAACCTAATGACCGTGACCTTTGACCTTGACTTTTTACCTCAATGTGTATTTTTGTGAACTGAACATCTTGACCAAGTTTCATGTACACCGGTCAATAAATACCAAAGTTATCAGCCAGGAACAAAATTTGTGGACGGACAGACAGACAGACAGAGTGATTACTATAGGGCACCCATATCTCCGATACGGGGCCCTAATAAAGTAATCCTATGATTTCGTACAACTTTCCAACACACAATTATTTTCATTTTTTTCTCATTGCCTACAAAAACTCATTCTTTTGAAAAATGCTTATGAAATAAACAAAATTGTAACAAATTATATCAAACCAAGAAATTAAAGTGTAAAGTAGGGGATATTTTCTCCAATGAATTTCAATTTAATATTGAATTTAGTGTTGTCATCGGCTTATCTGACATCAGAAATATCTACCTTCCCTGGTCTTTGGTATGGTCAAGGGATACTCATTACTGTGTGGCCTCCATACAAAAATAGTAGCTTTAACACTAATTCTCTTATTAATGAATGTTACAAAGTGTTTATCGACTACAATGACTCTCTCAGACCAGTCACCATACAAAACTCACAGGCAATCCAAACAAGTAGAAACCAAAAGCATGTCAAACAAATATGTACTGTCATGTGACCATTTAATTTTGAGTTAACATACACTAATTTACGTAACCCACTATGCTCGGGTGAGGGCAGTCGCTAGGGCCTCGTCACATGCGTGACCCCGCTTTGACCCCAGCCTCGTGTCAAGAGTGGGGAGGGGCTAAAAGATGTATCATGTGATCAATCCTTCGATTCAATCGGCCATCCACTCAGGAGCTAGTCGCCATGATGATGAGCTAAACTGTACCTTCAAGTTGAAAACAACAAAACCAACCAACAAATGATGACATCAAAGGGTGCCATGGCAACAGAAGCCACTTACAATATTGCGAATTATGCTGCCCCCTTATGACAGTGCGAAGTCATGATTTTAATGTTAACTAGAAAGCAATTATTAAAATCTGTTCTATTACAAAATCTTATAAAATATGGTTAATATGTGCATATGGTAACTATGCTACATGTATATCTAATTTATATAATTACAAATATTAAAACAATAAACTTTGTTTTCTAATTAAATGTAT